AAAAAAAAAAAAAAGAAATTTTAAAAACAAAATATAAGGGGGCCAGGGATTTAGCTCAGTGGTTCTGCCGCCTGCTTCGCCAGCGCAAGGACCCGAGTTCAATCCCCGGTACCCAAAAAAACCACAAAATATAAGGCTAAATTTTTAAATCAGTTCCAACAAAGTTACTCTATGTAATTGTTATAAAAGTGTCTAGAAGCTTACTTTTGATTTCTGAACTTACTTTATCACGGATTGATAACAGAACACATTGTGGTCTGGCATGATTCATGGGCTACACTTTGTATAAAACTACAGTCCAAGGCCGGGGATTTACCTCAGTAGTTCTGCCACCTTCCTTGCAAGTGCAAGGTCCCGAATTTGATCCCCAGTACCAAAAAACAATGAAAACAAAAACAAAAAAAATCATTCCTCTTAAAACTACAGTCCAGAAAACAGGAATTTTATATCATAGTTGTTGATATACTGAGTTCATGATATGGGAATACAAACTCAATGTTAAAATAATAGTAAAAAACTATGTATGATTAAGTGCCAAAGTGAATAACATGACTCTTAGGTGGCAGAGGCATTCAGGAACAGGGAAGATCAATATTGGATAGGAAGGACTGAGATCAAGATAGGAGGTGGGGGTGACTTACTCTGTCTGCTGGGATTGTTTCTGCCAGGGTTATTAACAAGTTCTTGTTGATAAATTCCACGGAAATTTTAAAATCTTTATCTTTGTGGTTGTTCCAACTCTCTTAGTCACCGTTGTCTTTTTTCCCCCCTAGAAATCTTGTCCTTTTCGGGCTTCTGTGACACCACACCTCTTTGTTTTCCTTCTGCTTTTCCTTTTTAGTCTCCCTTTCAGATTTCCTTTCTGCTTGTCCCCTGTAGTTGACAAAACCCAGAGTTTTGTCTTCGGCCCAATATGTCTTGCTCGACATATTGCTTCTGGATGAGCTTGTTCACTCCCATAATTGCAGCTCATTCTCCACACAGAATGCTCTTCTGAGTTCTGCATACCCCTATGTATGACTGGCTACTGCATAAAGATAGCTGGTTATCTCACAGGTACTCACAATTTTAATTCAGCATGTCTCAAAACAAATTTATCATGACTCTATGAAACCTCTTCCTCGCCTTGGGTGACAGTGAATGGCACTGTCATTGTGGTTCTTTGTACATGTGAAGAACGTGGAGTTTTATCTTTTAATTCTTCCCTCTCTCTTATTCTCCATATCAAATCAATTCTCTAACACCTGTGAATTAAACATCTTCTCTCCGCTCCACCTTAACTCAGGTCACTGTTGTTTATTGCCTAAATCATCACGATGGCCTCCTAACCGGCCTACTTACATCCATTCTTTTCTCCTGATCCCTTCCACCAGCCCTATTCACCTGGCAACTGGAGGGCTAGCTTTTTGAAATACAAGTCTTAAAACATCATGCCCTTGCTTAAAATCCTGTAGTGATTCATCATTGCCTTTCTCCAAATAAACTTCCGTGTGTCATATTCATGCCCTTTGTAACTGGTCACAGTGTTCATCCCTTGCCTTAGTTAGAGCCACTTCCTGCCCACCTCAGGTCACTCTGCCCTTATAGAACTACAGCAGAGGATCCAGACACCCTGGAAGCATTCATTGTGCAGTGATTTCAAAACATGTGTTGTTTTGTAGTTATCATCCATTTAAAAAAGATGTTCTTTTGTGGTAATTCAAGTATGATTTTTACCCTAGTGCCTGAGGTATGGTGACTGTGTGAGCCACCAGACTGTGAGTAACTGTCCGAGATGCACAGCATTCCAATCCTCATGCAGAAGGGAACAAGCAGTCACAGTGATGCATGCATTGTTGTGGTTCGCATTTGACTTACATGTTTTGGTGGGTCACAACTATTGTAAAGCATCGATTGCAACTACCCAAGTATATGTTAGCTATGAAAATATACTTGCAAAAAGCCCAGTATGCTTTTCTGGAGTTAAGACATCTAAACACTGAAAATAACATTAATATGAAATACCAGGGCAATTCCTAGACATTCTAGGTAAGCAGTTTTCTATTATATTTCCAGGTCCTCAAACATCTGCAGGCTTTCTCTTTTCTCTCAAGTCTACAAAACTGTGACCCTTTTCCTCTTGCCTGGCCAGCTCCCAGGTGTCCTTCAGGTCTTTGGTTAGGAGTTGTCTCCTTCAGAATGCTTTCCTACTTCCCAAGTGCCCCCTTTTAGATAACTTTAGAGGACTTACTTATATTTCTGTAATTGTCTGTTTGCTAATCTCTGTTCTCCACTAGACTATAAAAGAGGGCAAGGACTGTATCTGTAAATTCATATTTTATCCTGTAACATAGTAGGCATTCATCTACTTATGGGATGAGTAAATGAATGAGAATGAATAAAAAGAAGAAATTAAAATTATGACCGAACAAGGTAAAAATGAAAACATGGGTATATGAAAGTGCCGTTATAACCCAGGGGTCCTAGAAAAGTTTTGTAAAAAAGAAGTTTAATAGCAAATCTTGTCCTAAGCCCAGCTTGTGACAAGAGGAAGAGACATTATAGAATATGCTGCCACCTTGAGCTTTTCTTTCCTGTTTCTCTTCAGGCAGTTCCAGCAGTTACCCCTGTGGATGAGGAGAGCTCGGATGGGGAGCCAGATCAGGAAGCTGTGCAGAGGTAATGTGACATCTGGCAGTGCTTGCAGAACGTCCTTGGGCAGGCTCCCCCTGCAGCCAGCGAAAGGTCACCTCTGCCCAAGGAGGTGGTACAGTGCAGCTTCAACATTTGTGTGGTCTCTTTGCTCAAGCCAGATGGCATGTTCCTCCCCACATGGAAGTAACAGAAGACTACCCAGAAAATTTCATTTCTATAAACGTCATTGGAAGTCCCCTAAGTGACAGCAATAACCATAAGAACTTTTTCTCTCCTCCCTCCTTCCTTCCTTGTCCCCTGCCTTCATATTGCAACTCTGATAGTATTCACAAGGCACAAAGCTTGCTCCTACCTGCCAAGAACTGTTTACTGAAAAGGAATTGGAGATTTGGGATGACAGTGATCCTAGCTAGTCTGGCCATGGACAGCTGGCATGGACTCTTCCTTTCCAGGAGAATGAATACCTCTTGTACTGTTTGCTGTGTTTCTTCCACTCCCTTGTACCAACAAAGGGATATTGGTGGGGGGAGAATGTGGGATTCGGGCCAGGAACAAATGCAAATATCCATGGTTTGCAGAACCTTGTTGAAAGATGCCTGATTTACAGAGAATGGCAGTGACCATCAGGCATGCTGTACAGTTCATTTGATCTCAGTTTCATTAGCCCTGGTCCTCAGCTCCATGCATGCCCTCTTGTGGAAGTTGTCTTTCTTATTTTCTGGGGAGGGGGTTTCACCAAAATCCAGCATGTATTTTCCCAGAAATACAGGTGTTCATCAAGATTATATGTTTTATCTTGAGGGAAGTTGAAATAAAATGGTTTTCATGGGCTCTTGGGGAAATTTTGGGTGTCTTTATCAAATGGATATTAAACCACTGATGGCTTACTGTTTCGTAAGTTTATATATCACTAATTGCCCTACGGCCTGTTCACTGATTTTAGCTTAAATGGGTAAGGTAGTTAAGAATGAAACAAGACTGCTTTTTAAGAACCTGATAGTTGCTGGCCAGGACTCTCTTCCTACCCCCAGGAGCTCTGTATAAGAGCTGCTATTCAAAAAGAAGCTGGTCCCATGTGGCAAGCAACAATAACAACAAACACAGTGAACAGGAGTGTTGACAAGTGGGCTAGCTCCTTGTACAGAAGCTAATAGAAAGGAACACTGTGGTGACTTTTTTCCCTTGATGCTATTGCTTTTATAATTTATTCTTATAAGCATATATAAGGTCGTTAAATGAGCCCTTAATGGTACATGAAAAAGTGAGAGATTAGATTTACTGTCTTCTTACCTTGAAAGAGACATCTTCTTTTTCTTAGACTTTACTTCCTTCAGCTCCACCTTCTCTCTTCTTTAGACCAACATTATAATATCCATTAATTTTGATGGAATGGAAAGGAATAAAGTCTCTTATTCATGCCTAAGAAGCGCAATATTGGTGCAAAAACCATCAACCAGACAAAGGGGACTGGTATCTTTGGGATGGTGCTAGGTGGGGGTCTGCAAGATCTTCAGAGTAAAAGTCATCAGCATGTAACTCTTGGGCTTTTGAAACTCTTCTGTTCTTTTGCCTTGCTTTTTTTCCTAAAAAAAATTCTAAATCTTACACATGGTTTTTATTTCTTCAGACGCCACAGAATGTTGGTTCCCCAAGGACAACATTAGCTTTTCTTGTGGGATGATTGAAGTAGAATCACAGGCATGAGGGAGGAGGTAGTTTTGGAACTCTTCTATCCCTAAATGGAAGTGTGTGTTTTCTGTGACCTATAGTAAGGACAGCCTCAAAACCCAGAAGACATATATAGAGTCCTTCTGAATATCCCCCCTGGCTTATCCCTAGGAATAGGACTTAAGGCTCATTTCTTCTGACTTGTATTTTGGGAATTTGGAGGGAACAGAAGGATAAAATAAGAAAGAAGAAAAATAAGTTTTGTTTAGTGGAACAAAGTAAGGAAACCTGGTCCTCTTATCTCGGTGAGATCTACCTGCTCTCTCTCTTCTCTTTGGTGACTACTCTTGGGTTCAGAATTCAGCCGCTTCAAGGACAAGCCAGCTTTTGTTGGCCAGTGAGACATGTTGCTTCCGTCCAGTCAGGGTTCTGTCTGCTGTGGCGCTCTTTTGGAGCTCTGGCACTGTTTCACTGAGTGCATTGATTAGCTTCTGTTGCTTCTTGTGGAAGAATATTCCTGTCTGTCTTTTTTACTATGAAATGTGCTCCTGCTTGTTGTAGGTACTTGGCAAATAGGTCCAAAAGACATACACTGGCTATGACCAACCCTACAGCTGAGATCCCACCGGACCTCCAGCGGCAGCTAGGACAGCAGCCTTTCCGATCCCGGGTCTGGCCTTCTCACCTGGTACCTGATCAGCATCGGTGAGTAGCCACATGGCAGTGTGCACTCCTTGAGGCTTACCGGACAGGCACCCTTCTTCCTAGTCTCCCAGTGATGGTGACTAGCTTGAAGTAGAAAGCAGCTGTCATCCTGAACGCACATCTTCTCAGCTCCTTGTGCTGAGTGACACACAGGGCAAAGGTTTTCCACTGGGCCCTGGAGCAGTGTGATATTCTTCTTTCCCATTGCCTTTTTGTCTGCAGCTGATTCCCATAATTCAAAACGTTGACTCATAGATGAATTGAACTTGAGACCTTCAAGGAAGTGAAGCTCTCAAAAGGCCAACTGGAAATGAAAGGATTTGTAGCAATAACAATAGACTTAATTTTTAATAATTCATCACTTGGGAAAAAATGAGCACTTCATGTCTTGTTACCATTGAACAATAGCTTGGATGTGGAGGAAGACGTATCCTATGAATCGTAGGGCAAGCAAGGGTATTGCATCCTCTTGAGTGATATGCTTGAGAAGTCATTCTTTCAATATTCTGATGACAAAATCTTGTGCTAGGTCTCTGTTAAACTTACAATTCATTCTCTTTAAGAAATAAAAACAAGTTTAACTTTCTTCACCAGGAAAACTTGGTTGACTCATAAGTTAGCCTAGAAGCAGGGGAAATGACACTTTGCTAGAATAAGAGAATGATTGTCTTCTGTGAAATCTTGATGAATGTAAGTCTTAGTTATATCCATTCTGTAGCTATCCCAAGCTCGTGGGCCCCCCTTTCAAAGTCACCATCAGTGGCTAGAGTTTATTGCATTTCAGCCTTTTTGGGGAGACAGTGAAAAGCATTTTTACTTGTCAAGATTGGAAAACAGGCAGATTCTAAGGAAACAAAGATTACATGTATGTTGTTAGGAAGTCTTGCAACCAGCTCACACAGGCAAGCTTGACCCAATTTTTTTGTTGCTGTTTTTTTGTTTTGGGGGTTTTCTTTTTTGGTACTGGGGATCAAACTCAGGACCTTGCGCTTGCAAGGCAGGCGGTGGCACCACTGAGCTAAATCCCCGGCCCTACAATGTTTTTATTGTGCTAGTTCCCCACAGGCATCATGTAGTCAGCAGACAGGTGAACTCTGAGCTGACTGAGACATAATCAGTGCCACGTTGGAACTCTGGGAGAAGAAAGATAAGCTTTTATAAATAACTATGATTAAATAGTTAAGCAAAAATGGTCTGTTTGGCATAGCAAGAAGGAAGATTCTCAATAAAACTCTTTTGGCACAGAAAGATAATCTTTTTCTAGTAAAAATCTCCCAGGTCTGACATTGTCAGTGCACATTAAAGAGCACTTTGATTCTTGAAGAACTGCTCTCTCTTCCCCTTGTAAATTTCCTGTGACTTCTCATGACTGTGGGCTCTATACTGGTTACCTAACAGATGCCTTGTTATGCCTTTTCCTTCATCTCCTTCTTTCCTCTGTGTTTGACACTTAATTTTTTAGCCCTCATCAGGGTCTGTTAGCTTTTGTCTTTCAGGTGTTTTTGTTTAATTCTAGGTGTCCTTGGAAGTTGTTCTTTCAGGGAAATGAAGATCAGCACATTTCCTCAATTAGCCTTAGTCACAAACCTTCTATTATGTTGACATTTGTTGCTAGAGGATCCACAGCTCCGTATATGTGATATCCATCCTACCTACCATCCTTGTCAAGGCCTCACCTGCTTGAAATCTATCTACTGCCTATTTTCATGTGAACACTCTTCATAGAGTGTTCCCTGGGTTTTTGTGGCCAAGGCAGTTTGAATTGGGAGCAAATGAATGTTTTATGAGTGGCAGATTGGATACAGTTGAGCATTTGTATAAACTCAGCATTCTTGGTAGAGTTGGTATCCAAATATGCAACAGAGAGATTGAAGTTAGTCTTCAGGGGAAAAGAGAAACTTTCCAAGGCCATAAAACACTGAAAATAGATGGCCTGGATAGGTTAATGAATTTCTTTCATATTCTGGCGGAAATGATCAAACTCTTGTACGTGTGTGTGTGTGTGTGTGTGTGTGTGTGTATCTTCTTTGTGTGTGAGGGAGGGGAGGGAGCTTGAACCCAGGGCCTCTGCAGTCTGTTCAACCTTTCTACTCCTAGAAGTGTGTGATCTAAAATTTTTAAAGTGTAACAAAAAATTAACACGATGGATTCTATCCATGGAAACCAAGTCCCTATTTAAAGAGTATAGTGGGAAAAATAGCTTAATGTGAGGCTTTCTTGAGATTGAATATGATTGCTAAGAAAAATAAAAGCTATCAGTGCTTCTAAATGAACACCTGCATCAGAACTGTTCCTCTGAAGTTACTTTGCTGGACTGACCAGGGAATCAGTCTCTTTCCAACCTGAGCGTCTGAAAATCATGAAATACCTGGACCCAAGATATTACTCCTCTGATGAAAGAAAATGGCAGAAAGATGTATTGACTGCTTGAAGAATGCAGCTCTCAATGAGCCAGAAATGTGTCCATTATAATGTGTCCATTACCTGAAAATATTGAAAGCATAGGAATCAAATTTTAGGAGAAATACTTGCTTACTTTAACTCAAATCTGAAGTAGAAACAGAAAAGAAAACTTTTGAAGACATGCTTCTGAAATCAGCTTTCATGATCACTGTTTCTGGATTATGTCCCCCTAAATCATTTGTCTTTTGTGTTACTGAAACAAATAAATGCTCACACTCATTTCATTAGCTCACTTCTTTGTCAAGCTTCGGTTAAAGTCTAAAACAGAAGTCAACACTAGTAAAGTGAAGGGCTTTCATCCGCTGCCAGAATTCTTTTGACATCTCTGCACAGTCATCATTTCTCCTAAGTCTCTTTCTGTCTGCATTGTATTTGAACTCGCTTATTAACCTGCTTTCTTAGCTATGGCTCTGCTTCAGTCCAAAATGAATAACTGGCAAGGTGAGCCATCATTTCACCCATAGCTCAGTGTAATGTCATCTCTGCCCTGGACATGAAACCCTGACCCTTTCCATCAGCTGTTGAATGCTGCCTTGGCAGTCTTATATCTGCTTGCCTCAACTCATAAACATCTCTTTGTGATTAGGTAATGAGTGGAGGTGTTAGCTTCTAACCCTGATGCAGTCTTAGGCATTCCTTATCAATAGTTTGTTCTTTCTTTCTGTAAGATACTGGCTGTGTTCTGAATGAGCAACGGGGTCTTTGAAGGTAAAGCACGTGATTCTTCTGTCAATAGGAGGCTGGGCGGGCGCCGATGCTCTGAGAAGTTAGTGTTCACAGTAGGTAACCTCATTTGTGTTCACAAGGTACGTGCAGGATCTTGAGGCCCACATTCCTTAAGAATGTGTTGTCACCATCCCGGGATCAGAAGTCCCATTTCCCCCCACTTCAGCCTCCACCCTCCCCTTTCTAGCATAGAACTATGAGTTCCAGGCCAGACCTTTGACCACAAAGCTGACTGTAGTTTCACTCTGGTCCTACAGAGGTTACTGCTCAGGGGAAACTGTGGGCCAGACAGTGAATTTTAGGTCTCTACAAATACCATATATAATTTTTAAAGCCGGAGCTCCTGTACAGCTGGTCCTGGGGGTGTTGAGGAGCTTCTTTCTCTGGTCTAGCATATTTATAAGAATTGGATATGTTTGATCCCAGGACCACATCAGGTCTGGAAAGTAGGCCAGCTGAAGGTGCATGGAGATGGAAAATGTGTGCCTGGAGCCCTCTAAAGGGAAGCAGACTAGGGAAGCGACCTTCTTCTGGAAATGACATGGAAGTAGCATAATACAGAGCACTACACATACAGTTAGCCGTCTTTATGTTCACCTGGAACAGCAGTCCCTGTTTGATTTGGTCAGAACCCCTGAGTCCTAGCCCTAACCTTCTCTTCCCATGTATTCAGCTCCACCTACAAGGATTCCAACACCCTGCACCTCCCTACGGAGCGTTTCTCCCCTGTGCGCCGGTTCTCAGATGGGGCTGCAAGCATCCAGGCCTTCAAAGCTCACCTGGAAAAAATGGGCAACAACAGCAGCATCAAACAGTTGCAGCAGGTAATGAGAGAGGTAGCAGGCATCTCTGGAGAAGCACGGGTAGCAGACCGGTATTGCAGAGGACTGGGGTGGTGAACTGTCTAACGCTTCATGCCAGCAGTGCCACAGTTTTATAGGTTAAAATATAACTTTCTGATGCTCTTTCCTTCTTGTTAGGCACACCTCTCCCCAGGAACAAACCTGCTTACCCCATGAAGGGACCAAATGTTTCTCCTGTCTATATAGTTCCTTAGAAAGGAATTTCAGGGCTTGGGTTTGAGTGGGAAGCAAAATATTTCTAAGCAAGTCAGGCATTTCCTCACGATGTAGGGTGCTGGGTTACACCTTGTTGTACTCTCCACTTGGTTCGGAATGATGCTTGTAGAGGCAGGCTTCTAGGAAAGGCCACTTTTCCTTTCTGCCTTCCAGATCACCACATCTCAAGTGGCAGGTGCTCTGTACATGAGATTTCACACTGGACACTTTACTCACACACAGGCTTTTGGGTATCCTTGGTATTTCCCATTCATTCACACAGAACACAGTGTGAGATATTTAGTATGCAGATACATGTATAAGTGTGTCAACTGCTCATCAAGGACATTGTTCTTCTCTTGTGGTTCTTTCTGCCTATGAGACCTTGGGGCAGATCTCCATCTGCTGAGATCACCACATGGGTTGGGACTGGCTGCATCCCATCTGTATTAAATACTTTCCCTTCAGGAGTGTGAGCAGCTGCAGAAGATGTACGGGGGGCAGATTGATGAAAGAACCCTGGAGAAGACCCAGCAGCAGCATATGTTATACCAGCAGGAACAGCACCATCAAATTCTCCAGCAGCAGATTCAAGTAGGCCCTCACCCTTTGCTTTCTCCAACTTGTTTGGAGTTTGCTCTCAGGCTGATTTGCCTGTGCATTTTGGAGAAAAACACTCAGGGGAAAGTGGAGTTATGTATATGCCTGATATATTTGAATAAAGGCAACCCGGCCTTTTAATGAACAACAATAGCGTAAGTCTGAGTCACAGATAGTTCTTTCTGTTTCTTCCCTTCTTGGGAATAGCTCTGATTAATCTTCAAGCTCACAAGTCTTCTTTTCCTTTCTCCCATGTATGTTTTAGGATTCTATCTGTCCTCCTCAGCCTTCCCCACCTCTTCAAGCTGCATGTGAAAATCAGCCAGCCCTCCTCACCCACCAGCTCCAGAGGTAATGAATCACTTTGTGATATGCCACAGTTGTTGGTCCTAAAGCATAGTACCTTTGGCCTGACTCTTATGGGAGATATTGACCGACTTTAGCATTCATTTTGAAAGAATCTACTGGAAAAACAGAGAAACCAACCTAAAATTCAAGAGCTCCCCTGAAATCCTGACTTCCTGTGCCACTTCATTTTCTTAACCCTAAGAACAAAGTAATCTGACATCTACTGGTGGAGAAAAAGTCTGGTGAAACAAGATGAGGATAAGTTTTTAATTGGCTGGGTAGATGACTAATGTATGATTTTCTACCATGGTGGCTTATCGAAACTAAAAAGTAGGTTCTTCATGTATGTATCGTATGACTAAAACTTAAGATTGTTTTGTCACCTCGGGAGGTTTCTTTATTCATTTTGTCATTCTTAAGGTTAAGGATTCAGCCTTCAAGCCCACCTCCCAACCACCCCAACAACCATCTCTTCAGGCAACCAAGTAATAGCCCTCCCCCAATGAACAGTGCCATGATCCAGTCTCACGGTGAGTGCAGAATCCTAGATGAAATCATATACACCACACAAGAAAAATGACTGTCTTAGTCTTTTGGGGGTTTTTGTTTTGTTTTTGTCTTGTCTTAACCATCTTAGTTTTGAGTGCTCTGAGCCATTTGAAAGGCAGAATACCATAATATTTAGGGGTATGGGCTCTAAAGCCATACCACCTTGGTTTGAATCCTAGTTCCACCAATTTCTTGCCTGTGGACCCTTAAGTAAATTACTTAAGTGTACCTCCACTTTCTCGGTAATAATAGCATCTAATGAATAAATATGTGTAAAACACTAGGAACAGTCTCTGACACAAATAGTTCCCAATGAAAGTTCTGTTATCTGTATTTTTACCAGTAACCCCTCCAACTCTACCAAATAAAAAGCTGCAGCCAGAACCTTCCTGTTGCCCTGCTTCCCTACCATGTACCATGGTAACCTATTGTTTGGTTACCATGGTACATGTGGAACTCTCTCTTGTGGGGGTTTAGATGAAGGTGGAGTGAGTATGCCACTTCAGAGATCACCACACAGTCCAGATCCTTGTCAGCCTTTCTCGGCACTTCTGAGAAGAGTCTGAAGTCAGGCCTGTCCTAAAGTGTAGTTCCCTGACAAACAGCCTTGGTAGGAAAAGTAGAATCTCAGGTCCCATCCCAGACCTGCTAATCAGAATATGCACCTTAACCAGATCCCTAGGCTGTTTGATTGCACATTCAAGTTTGAGATGCACTGTGTAGATCTGAGCTACTCAAAGTATAATCCATAGACCAGCTTTTAGGGGGACTTTTTAGAAATATGGATTCTTGGGAACCCACCTTGACCTACTGAATCAGAGTTCTGGGGGTAGGACATGGGAAATCTTTTTTTTTAAACAAGTTCTGTGGTCTTTCTTGCATACTAAAGTTTGAGAAGGCTGTTTAAGATGCTATCTGATGTGAGTCTCCTCATCAACTCCATAGTTCAAGCTGGCATGTAATCTGAACACTTGGTCACTCTGAGGTCCCTTTCTCTCCAGGTGCTGCAGCTTCCTCTCAGTTTCAAGGCTTAACCTCCCGCAGTGCAGTCTTCCAGCAGCAGCCTGAGAACTGTTCTCCTCCCCCCAACATGGCACTAACTTGCTTGGGGATTCAGCAGCCTACCCAGTCACAGCAGGTGACCATCCAAGTACAAGAGCCAGTTGACCTACTCAGCAACCTGCCAGTGACGGCTGCAGGTTCCGCTGGGCGGGGCATCTCCATCAGCCCCAGTGCCAATCAGATTCAGATGCAGCACCGTACCAACCTGATGGCCAACTTCAGCTATGGGCACCGACCCTTATCCAAGCAGCTAAGTGCTGACAGTGCAGAGGCCCATAGGTAAGCCTGCCTCCTGTCACCCTGTTCCCTGTCCAGGTGATCTAGGTGGGAGGAAGCTCCTTAGCAGGGTAGAGAGAAGCAGGGACTGAGAATGGCCTGACTGGGCTACTCATTTCACCCTTTCTAAAATCAAGGTGGTAGGCTTGGCATGAACTTGTAAACAATCTTAAGGACCTAGAATTAAAATGCTAATGAGACAGAGAAGGAAAGTGGCAAAACAAACAACCTTACTAATTGTTTGCAAAAAAGAAAGCTCCTACTAGAAGAATGTGCAAAAATGTCAGTTCTCCTGTCTATTTCTTTAGGACTCTTTTCCTCTCTGTCACTCTTCTAAGAGATTGGTGCCTTTTAATAGCTTAAATGATGTTTTAAGATAGGCCATGATGCTGGCTTCAAGGCAGTCATGCTTATAGTGTCCTGAGGCCCTGGAAGATTTGGATAAGTAAGGGGACAAATAGGGCAGATGCTTCTATGCCCCTCTTCCTTGTCACACCACAGCTGTCTGTACCAGGGTGCTTCCTGGTAGAAGAATGGTAGCTATCTGCGGGGGGGCGGGTAGTCTAGCACACTTGTTACATGGATGCCTGGTACTCACTCCCTTTTGTGTCTGCAGCTTGAACGTGAATCGATTCTCCCCAGCTAACTACGACCAGGCGCATTTACACCCCCATCTGTTTTCGGACCAGTCCCGGGGTTCCCCCAGCAGCTACAGCCCTTCACCAGGAGTGGGGTTCCCTCCAACCCAAGCCCTGAAAGTCCCTCCACTTGACCAATTCCCCACCTTCCCTCCCAGTGCACATCAGCAGCCGCCACACTATACCACATCGGCACTACAGCAGGCCCTGCTGTCCCCCACGCCGCCAGACTATACCAGACACCAGCAGGTACCCCACATTCTTCAAGGACTTCTCTCTCCCCGGCATTCACTCACTGGCCATTCGGACATTCGGCTGCCCCCAGCAGAGTTTGCACAGCTTATGAAAAGGCAGCAGCAGCAACGACAACAGCAGCAGCAACAACAGCAAGAGTACCAAGAATTGTTCAGGCACATGAACCAAGGTGATGGTGGGAGTCTGGCCCCCAACCTTGGGGGACAAAGTATGACAGAGCACCAGGCTTTATCCTATCAAAATGCTGACTCATACCACCACCACCACACCAGCCCCCAGCATCTTCTGCAAATCAGGGCACAAGAATGTATCTCGCAGGTGTCCTCACCTGCCCCAACCCATAGGTATGCTCATCAGTCAACACTCGTGCACTCAGAGAGCATGGAGGAGGACTGCTCGTGTGAGGGGGCCAAAGAGGGTTTTCTGGACAGCAAGAGTTCAAGTTCACTGACCAAAGGTTGCCACGACAGCCCTCTACTCTTGAGTACTGGTGGACCTGGGGATCCTGAGTCTTTGCTAGGAACTGTGAGTCATGCCCAAGAATTGGGGATACATCCTTATGGACATCAGTCGACTGCTGCATTCAATAGAAATAAGGTGCCCAGCCGAGGTAAGAGTCTCTCAAAGTAAAAGTCCTGGTCCAGTGTACCCTAATTCAGGTGTCCCTGTAATGGCAGTTTGTTTCAACTAGTACTCTCAGTTTCTAAGAAAGCAAGAATTCCTGAGAAGACCTTCAGGACCATTTGGAGAAAAGCATAGAGAAATGGATATTGATGGGTGAGGGGTTCATTTTCCAAATACAGTACTGACAGACAATTAACATCTAGTGCAATCAGTAAGATATATTATCTATTGCCCCCGTTCATCATTTCTTGGAATCCAGAAATTGCTATTTTCAAAATGGCTTCTGCAATAGGAAAAAAATTAGCCAGTATTATGGACAAGACCAAGAAATAAAGCATCGTAATCCTGGTCTTACCTCTGTCAGAAATATGATATCCTAATCATGTAAACCTGTTATCATTTTCCTTGTCTTTGATTGTTGTTTTTTGTTTTTGTTTTTTTGGTACTGGGGATTGAACTCAGGACCTTGTGCTTGCGAGGCCAACACTGGAACCGCTGAGCTGAATCCCTGGCCCTTCCTTGTCTTTGAAAAAGGAACAGGAGGCATAATGGTCCTTTGCAGTTTTATGATGGTTCAAACATGTTTGTATTTATACATAATGTTTGGATGGGAAAGAGGAGAGAAACACTTGATATTCTGAAATGTATGACATAAGTGTATAAACAGTGAGATATTATTACTCTGGGCATTTCATCTATGAGCTAAATACAGCATCATAGGAGTCTCCATGCCATTTCATTTTGTGTCACTTTATAATTACTGAGTGCAATCATTTTCATCTGAAGGAGTGGAAGATTGCCATCAGTAAATAATACACAGAATTGTAGTTCCACTAGCATCTTAGCATTTATCCTACACAAAACTAGGAATTTCTGTCTTGCCAGCATAGACCTTGCAGTTTACCACTCTTCACATAGCCATCAAGGGAATAGAAATGAATTTACCCATAAACTATACAATCCTGAAACTGAACATTTCTTCAGTCTTTCCCTCTCTGGAATTACTTGCATCTCCTGCCTTGTCCTGAAAAGTCAATGCACAAAACTCAGCCCCCAAAGGGAATTAGGTCCTGTAGCAGAGCAGGATAGAACACCTTGCACCAAAACAGGTGGAGTAAGAAAGGCTTGGTGATTTTAGGTGTACTTACTGTCTGCTGCAATAGGAGGGAAATGTAGTTGCATAAAAGGCAATTTAATCCCGAACTTTCAAACTGTGCATCATCCAGCTTAGAGATCTTCCCTGTCTGATGTATCATGACCAACTATGGGTGCTGTACCTGAAGCGGGACAGGTGGCAACTTTCAGAACAGGTCATGTGTGGAATGGTACTGTTTAAGATCGAGAACGAACAAGTGAGGAGAAACACATCTGTGAAAAGGGGTTAGACTTTTCTGGTTCATGTGATAGGGCAGAACCAAGGTCAGGATAGACAGGATAGAAGTTGCAGCACATTTCCATCCACTAAAAAGATGTCTGTAAGATCTCTACAGAACAGACCACCTCAACAGTCTGGAAGCTTCCTGTTGAGTGTTTGGTAGAGGCTGGATGACCAAATCTGGGATGCTTGTGGGGAGAGCCTCTAGCACGTTAGCATCTTACAGCTGGCATAAAAAAGGAAAATACCTAATGTTTCTGTTGCACTTTCCATGTGCCATACACCACATGCTGTTCATATATAAATTCATTTGATCTTTACAACAACCCACTGTCTCCATTTTACAATGAGAGAACTGAGTCATAAGAGATAAGAAACTTGCCTCAAGATGAAGGGCTGGCAAGTGGCAGTTGAACCCAAGTTGTTCAGTTCACTCCGGCAAAGTCAAATTGAGTGTGCCCTAGTTTGCAAAGCACTGAGGCAGAAAAAAGGTGAAGTGAGTATTGCCTCACCCTCTGTCCCTCCCTGGCCCTTGACTATCAAGTATTTCAATACTTTTTGAAATGTTTTTCACTAATTTCTCTTCACTTTCCCTCCTGTATGACTCCTGGTACGGAAAGGCTGGAGAACTTATACTTGCCACTGTCCCCTGATTATCAGAAGAACTCCCTCTGGCATTCTGCTGACTTCCAGTAGTAGGCAGACCTGGATTTGGGCAGCACCAGAGGAAGGAGAGGTTAACTGTACATCAGAGGAGTAAGATAGGTTTCCAGCAGTTAAATGGCGTTTGGATTGGATCTTGATGGACAGAGAGGACTTGGACATTTGGGTTTAGAGAAGAAGCAATGAGGAAAGAACCAGGAGGGGTAAATTCCTCAGGGGTGTTTTGGGCCCAGCAAGCAGGCTTGGTTAGTTTGGACTGTAGTGTCATGAAGAAATTAGTAGAAGCTGGGAAGAGAGGTTCTCTAAAATGCACAGTATTGTCTGGGTCCAGCTGCAAATGTGCCACAAGAATTGTAGCACGCTTCTCTGCTCTCTTGGCAGTTGTAGAGCAACTTATAGGCCTGTCAGTCTGTCCCTGTCAGATCCCTTCTCTCAAGTCTAAGGATTTTACTTCAGGTCCAGTCTGTCCTACTTCCTGTGGTTGACTCGCCACTATTATTTCTCTCCCCCTCCTTTTCCCTGCATTTTTGCATCACTGTCATTGTCACTGCCAATACCTCTACAAACATCTGTCAGGCTGTATGTGTACTCCTAGCTTACCAGTTTTGCTGGGTCTCCTCCCCATTTTTTATCCACCTTTTCCCTCTGACCTACTCCTGCTGTGTGTGTTAGCATATTGGCACACAACCACCCTGGAAAGTATAAGTTAAGATTCCCTTTTACAGTAGAAATGCTTTAACCTGACCTCCTGACCTTTAAAAACTTGAAAGCTTACATTTTTATTTTACCAAAGAATCTTCAGATCTTTTGCTGAGAAAGGGTTGCAGTGCTGCCCTGCTACTCTGCAGGCAAGTTGGGGCGGGGCGGGGGGGGGGCTCGCCCTTGTTTTCTATCTGAACAAGAAGAAAAGCCTGCTATTTCCTTTAATGACCCGTCCATCTCTACATAGTTACACACTAATCCCCAAACACTTCAACTCTTATTGCTATGGTAGAGCAAATTCAGTATAATTTATTGCATATCATAGGTGCTGTGGGAATTCAGAGAGGAAAAGATGAAGGACTTGTCCTCAGGGAGCTTCTGCTCTACTGAGGGAAGCAAGACAAGCTGATAACTTTAACATGAAGTGCTGTGTAATGAGTGCTTCAAGAGGTCTAATTTAAAAGAGCAAAGCTCATGTGACCTTTCAGGAGTTTCTTGAGGGTAGATAAAGAGGGATCATGGTGTTAGCCAAGGAAAATTAGATGCCACCATACTGTTGTCGATGGTTTCCTGTTTCCTATATGCCTCTGCCACCAGCCAGCAGGAGGCCAGGCATTGCCCAAGCACTGAGCAAGCAGCATGCCAAAGGTTTTCTTAGCAATGCATGCATGTTTCAGAGCTGTTTCTGCCCTGTGCTCCCTATGATCTCCCTGTCTACCACTTCAGAAGCAAAAATAAAGATTGTCTTCCTTCCATGGTATTACATAGATTTAGTTTTTTGACTCTGCAAATAAATAAATACAACAGTATAACCAGTTTACACAATGAGATTAACAACTTGGACTCATGAGGAAAACCACATCCTCTTCTCTGAGTTTAGTCAGCTTCAACATTGTTACTTCAGGCTTCAGAGAAGTTAAAACACCGAAAGCCTGGGAGAAGTTACCCCCTTGAGCCTTTAAGAGGAATATGCAAACATGTCATTTCTCTCATTTTTCTCTAAAAGCCCAGTAAATGTATAAAGATGAGTCAACATTGACAGATTCAATAGAGAGTTGTGCAGGGTGCCCCAAAGTTCTCTTGGTAGGTGGATGGTATGCATTGTGTCCATTTGAGCATTTTTTCCCCTTGTATGATGAGACAAATATCTTACCCTCTGTATTCTCTCAGCTTTATTTCTGTAAATACTTGTGCATGGACCTCTTGGAACTCATCTTCTTCCCCTTATTTATATATCCATCAGTGAGCCTGGCCATTCCTCTAGCTACCAAATTGGTGTGAAGGATGCCAGAGATTTGAGCCTAAAGCCCATATCTACTGATCAGTGGGTTAGTCTGCTTAACACCTCCAAACTGGTTAGTCTTATCTACAGAGTGTCACAGAGGACTTCTAGATGGAAGCTCTACATCTTTACTAAAAATACTTTACTTGTGTGGTCCTTTATAATTTATCAAAGCCTTTATATTACTTTTTTAATCCTCAAATAACTCTCAATTTTCAGATAGGGAACTTAGTGGAAGGAGAAGTTAAATGACCTGCCCAAATGTATATACTCTCTTGGTGCTAGAGCTGGATCCTAACTTGAAGTTTTCTTCTTTCCTTTGTGCCTCAGTGTTGGTCATCTTTCTGTTGCTGGGACAAAATACCTGAGTGAATCAACTTATAAGGAGGAAAGGTTTATTTTGGCCCATGGTTCAGATGTTTCAGTCCATGGTTTGCTTGCTCTGTTGCTTTTGGGGCCATTCTGAGGTAGAACATCATGGTAGGGAATGCATGATGGAAGAAAAACTGCTCACCTCATGGTGGTTGGGAAGTAAAAAAGAGGGAGGCTAGGGATCATGTCCTAATCCCCTTCAAGGACATGCTCCCAGCGACCTAACTTCCATCCAGTAAGTGCACCTCCTAAATGCTCCACCACCTCCCAGTAATACCACAAATTGAGGACCAAGCCTTTTGGGGGACATTCACTATCCAAACCACAACACCTTCTTTGTCTCTACTCTGTACCTTCCAATTTCATCTGCCAAGTGAAAGACACCAGTCCTTCCAGATCTCTGACTGATAGATTACACTGAAACTTGAACAGAGCCCAATTTCTATATACTTCTTTTTTATCTGATCATCTTGTCTTATCTTGACTTGTCTTATCTTGTTCTGTTTGCTGGAGATTAAACCTGGAGCCATGTGCTTGCAGGCTTTACCACTGAGCCACACTCCTAGCCCTTCATCTGGTTTTAAACCACATTTATCTTTCCCAAATCAGAGGCTTCTTCTTTAGACACTTAAGTTTCAGTAACTCATCTGTTCATTTACATATGAGGAAGTCATCCTGCAAAATTCTTCAAGTAAGGCTCTGTGATAAAATCAGTTTGTTTTTGTCAGTTGATTCTGTGTGTCCTTATCTGCTCAGAGCTCAGGGCAGAGCATTTTTCTAGCATGTACAAGTCCCTAAGTTCAGTCCCCAGCATTGTAAAACTAAAAAAATTAAAATAAGTTTTAAAAAGAAAAGAGAAAAGATCTGTGAATGCCAGGGTCTACCAAACTCTTTTGAGTACAAAGCTCTATTAAGCACCCTGTATACCTGTGAGTAGGTGCTAAGTTATAGATGAAGAGGTTGAGACCCAGAAAACTGGGCAACTTACCCAAGTTCCCCCTACTCAGGAAATGATGAAGCCAGGATTCGAGCCTAAATCTTCTGACCAGACTGATGCTCATGTCTGCTGTGTCAACACTCCTTGACTGAAGAATGACCCCTAGATTGGGGAGTCACAAGGCTTATCATATGACCATCTAGTGATACCTTGTTCTGACTTGGTGGTCCTTCCAGGTCTTTTGGCATCAGACATGAAGGCTTGGAAGAGAGCAGACTAAGAGCACAAAATCCACCTGGCCTTCCCAAAGCCAGAGCCAAAAGGAAGGTGTACACTTGGATTTGGAGAAACATCATTCTCTTGAGTAAAGACAAATTCAAAATGAGAAAGTAGGAAGGGGGCTAAACAGACATGAAAAATCAGTACCCACATCAGGACCTCCAGAAGGAGAGGAAGACACTAAATATGAAGAACTGGGACTGTGTACATTTTGTTATCGATGCCATCTTATCATGTTTGACAATGATCCCTTAAAAATCTTTAAACAAAAGAGCACTTGTTGTTGTCTTTTGGGGGAGCAGAGAAGTAAGACCGATGATATTTAAAACCAGGCCTAAAAGAAAAAAAGACCCCACTACCACGAAAGGATTGACTGGATGGTGTTGGCTCTCAAATTAGAGAACATAGGCATTAGAAAATACTTTGACAAGGAGAAGCCGTCCCTGGTGTTGCGTCTTGACAGAGTGGCCAACAGCTCCTTGCTCCCACAGAGCCAGTGTGTTGCACCACTTCCTGCCAGTTGTTTGGCCCTGAGGCTTCTTGGGAACTGTGTCCACTGAGAGGTACTGAGTAAGTGGGGACAGTGGGTGAGCTTGTCCCAAAGAGCAAGTCACTTTTCTTGTGTAGGTTTGCTTTTATCTTCTCTCTGTTGGCTTTCAGTAGCACAATAGTTGGCTTCTGACTGTTATTTCACTTCTTCACTCAGAACTTTCAAAAGATTTCTCATCTGCGTTCACCTTTGATAGTTGGGAAGTGCCCCCCATCTCCATTTTTCCCCTGAATGTCTTGCATTTCTAATAATATGCGTGTCAGTTACTTCCCACCCCAACCCCTCCTACTTTAGCCTCTAAGCTTGGGCCTAACCTTGATTGTCACCAGAGCCCATTTACAAAGAGACATGAACTTCTTTACTCAACACTCAGACAGTGTGTTTACTTTCATTGTTTAGATACTGGAATGGCACCATTATCGTTGGTACTGTTTTGTAGTAAGTTTTTAAAAACTTGGTCTTGCCAAGGGTTAGTTCGTGAAGAGATAAGTCCCATAGTTGCCAAGGAGCTTTACCTCAAAAAACCAACCTAGCAAACAAAACATATGTTTAAGTCCCAGGCCCTTAAAGACAGAAACCAAAAGTGCTACCAGAAGGATTCTGTCAACTTAGATGCAATCCTGATACTCGTTATGACTGGCCTTGATCAAGAAGAAATATTCATTTCTGTCTGAACTCGAGCCATAGAGTTCCTTGACTTTGATAGGATGCCAACCCATATTAAGAGAGAACTCATTGACATCAGTTAAAGAGACAATAATTAAATACTGGGGTTGGAAAAAAATTCTGGAACACTGAAGGCTCACAGGGTATACAATCTTGCCCTCATAGAACTTCCCATTAATATGTATGATTGAGAAAAGTGCACAGTTAAACATGGTACTAGGGGTAGTATTAGAGCAATCAGATAAATAAAACCTTCTGAAATTTGAAGGAAAATTAATCTATTTGTTTGAAAGGAAAAGTTTCATAAAGATGATAACATTTGAGAAGGACCTGGAAGGATGAGTTGATTTGGATTGGCAGAGTGGAAGTAGAATCAGACATTTCCAGGTAGAAGGAACAGCAGGGAAAATGCCTAGGATTGTGAATGGTAGGGAAAAGTTAAGCGGTCCCATGTGAACAGAGCTTAGAATGTATAGAGGAGCATAGTTTGAGAGGCCGATTTAAAGTGAAGCCAGGGCAGTATTGTGAAAAGGAAGTGTGGGGGCTGAGGAAGTAGCTCAGATGTGGAGTGCTTGCCTAGCATGAAGTATATGGACTACTCTAGAGAAAGATTAATGTTTGCAGGGTGGTGGTAGGGAGATGGTGAAGAGGTTTAATCCAAGCAAGAGGCAATAGGGGCTTCAGTGATATTGGAAAGATGGGGACTGAATAGTCCAGTATTGCACAGGTGGATTCTTCAGTCTTGAAGCTCTTGTGGAATCAGGAGTAAGAAATCAGTACTGATGCCAAGAAGTTATGTCTGGAAAATTAGGTACCAAAAGAACGGTGTCTGAAAGAGTAACAGGTTATGGAGGCAGTTGATGGGCTTGAAATTGCTCATGGTGAGTGTTGCATGTTGGATAGATATCTAAGGAAAGATGCTAGTAAGAAGTTGGATGTATAGATCTGAGCTTAAAAGAACATATCAGTAATTCTTAAGTAGAGGCAATATAGCTGAGGCTGTGGGCATAAATATTCCCAAAGTAACTGTGGGAAGAATGAAGATCAGGACAGAAATGTGAAGACTGCCTGCTTATAAAGAGTGGAAGAACCACAGAAGTTGGAAGCAGCAGGTAGAGAAGTAGAAAAAAGAGAGGGCTGCCATGGTACTGAGGTGGAAACCAAGGAAGGAGAGTGTAGGTGTCCCCCTGGCCATCCTCCCAGGCTAGAGGTTCCTGAAAGTTTTGAGGGTCCTCCCTCTGTGAATTATAGTTTGGGAACATGGCATGGTTACATCAAGAGAGAAATGAAGAAGGAAGAAAATGTTATGTGATCCAGCCAGTCCCCATTAAGAAACTCATACTTGCTGTAAGACTTGGGATTGTCAGGTTCCTTTGAGCACCATGACCAGCTGGCTAAGGATTAGTGGTTAGTGCAAATGTGGTCCTCACTTCACTGTCCCTTGCAAGGTATTTCATTTCCTTCGTGGAAGTTGGCATTGCTGGGAGAAGCTGCCAGCCTGCTGACCCTATTTTGCTCTGTCTCCTCAGAGTCTGTCATAGGGAACTGCATGGATAGAAGTTCTCCAGGACAAGCAATGGAGCTGCCAGACCACAATGGGCTTGGGTACCCAGCACGGCCCTCAGTCAATGAGCACCACAGGTCCCGCACCCTCCAGAGACACCACACGATCCAGAGCAGTGATGATGCTTATGTATGTTGGTCCTTCCTTCTTCTGGGAGGTGGGCTGCTACCAGTCCCAGCTTGAAATAGAACATAGTAACATAGGGTAGCATCCATCCCTCTGCTGTTCTCATGCAGAGTCCAGCACCTTTGGAAACTATGGAAATGTTTCTTAGAATCACCCTAGCAGACTACCCCTTAATGCCAGTAGGATCCCAGTAGACTCATTACTCCAGATTTTAGGCCAAGGAATAAAAAACACTTGCCATCTGGATTCTCAATTATTGAACCTCTCCTCAAATAGTCTAAACTCAGGCTCCAGCAAAAGAACTCTGAGGCTCTTGATGCATTTCCAGCAGCTACATTGCACTTCCTAACATAGGGAGATGATGAGGCTCACCAAAGCTTTGTTGTCTAGGCCACATTCCTGGGGTATGCTATATAGGAGCAACTAGCCATGTGTGGCTATTCAAATTTAAATTTACTAAAATTAAGTATACATACAAACTAAGGTCCTCAGTCATACTGGTCACACCCTACCTGCACAGTAGGCCCGGAGGACAGTAGCTACCATGTCTTGAAGGTTCCATCAATGTAGGGTGCAACTGAACAGTGCTATCTGAATGCTGACTTCTAGGGGTGGGGGTGATAGGTCATAACCTGGATTTAGAAGGACATAGGAAGGCAGCTTCTGAGGCAGCTTCCCCCATTGTCACCATTGCAGGACCCCCTAGGATGGTGGATGGTGCTGCAGGAGGAGGGAATCTGAGTGGTGTTCCAGGCCACCCTTGGCCTGAGCTCTTCTAGCAGGAACAGTTGTTCTTAAGGGTCACCTGAGAGTGGCACATTCTCTGTTATCTATTTCTTTTCCTAATTGTTTTCTGCAGGTGCAGCTGGATAACTTGCCAGGAATGAGTCTTGTGGCTGGGAAAGCACTTAGTTCTGCCCGGATGTCAGATGCAGTTCTCAGTCAGTCTTCTCTCATGGGCAGCCAGCAGTTTCAGGATGGGGAAAATGAGGGTAAGAGGCCTTATTCTTGGGGTCCCCAGAGAAGTTCCTGGGGGGACTCCCTCTGTCTTTGCCAGGGACCATGCACCTCTTCTATGGCAAAAATTCCTGGGGAGGCAGATAGGACACAGCGCCCTCCCCTGATGCGAGAGTATGCAGGAGGCATGGCTTCTGCCTGAGCACAGCTGGTCATATTGCTGTTTCTAATGCTGCAGGAAAACACACCTGTAGTAGTGGCTTTTCTGGTTCTGATTAGAGGGTCTGTGTCCTAATGAGATATCACTACCTCTCCTTAGAACCAGTCTAAGAAGGCTGTCATAATGCCCATAAAGCACAGGTTTGGGATAGATAGATCCACCCTCACGGCTCCACAGTTGAGCCACATAACCTTTCTGGATCCCCAGGTGCTTGTAAAGTGGCAGAAGTGATAGAGCCTGTCTCCTAGGCTGTGCTGTGAGGGCTGCTGGCTTACCAAGGTAGAGTGCTTAGCATAATCCCTGGAGCAGAGTGCCCAGGAGTGAGCACCTTCAAGCACAGTGTCATTTCCTTCACCTTCCAAGGTGAAGGCTTTTTTTGCTTTTTGTTTTTTGCAATAGTGGGGATTAAATCCAGGGCCTTTACACTGAACTACATCCCCAGCCCATTTTTGTATTTTTAATTTTCAGATAAAGTCTCACTGAGTTGTCCAGACTGGGTGGGAAATAATGTAGTAAAGGACTAGGGAAGAAGGAGCACCTAGGTGGAATCGAGGTCACTCACAACTGGCGGGCCCACCATAAACTGGAGTGCAGGGCTGGGAGTCAGGCTGTAGAATGCTGACAGGCTGCCTCCTTTTCCTCCACTCTCCCTCCTTGTCCACTAACCTCTGGCTTCCTGCCAGTCTCACATATTTTCTTTGGTCTTGCAGAATGTGGGGTGAATCTGGGAGGTCACGAGCACCCAGACCTGAATGATGGCAGCCAGCATTTAAACTCCTCTTGCTATCCATCTACGTGTATTACAGACATTCTGCTCAGCTACAAGCACCCTGAGCTTTCCTTCAGCATGGAGCAGGCAGGCGTGTAACAGGAAACAGAGTGAGTGTCACTCTGACCAGAGCCAGCCCAGCCTTATGGCCTAGTGGCAGCTCCTAATCTCAGCGAGACATTCATTCATTATGTGGTGGCCACTGAGCCTGACAGGGCCAGTCTTCCCTTTAAAATCGTCACCTCTTCCTGCTTTTTATCAACCATTGTGGTAGTTTGGAGGTGGGAGGGGGCATGTGAAAGGAATCCAAGCCACAGTCCCTGGGCTTAATTATGGAAATTTTCATGACATATGATTTGCCTCGTGCTCCAGGTGCTGTAGCCCTTATAGAGAGAGTGAGGTACAGCTCCAAAGGACAGAGGTGACCTCTGGCCAGCATACTAAAGAAAGAGGCAGTAGTCTTTAAACTCAGTCCTGAAGGACAAAACTCTGTAAGAAAACACATCCATCCAAAAAAGAGAAAAAAAGAAAACACATCCGGTCATATTTTTTAAGGAGCAGGGTACTCTAGACAGGGAAAACGTGATCAGAGACCAGTGTAGTGAATGGGTAAATTGTCTGGGTTGGCTGGAGTAATGCAGTTGGTATCATTGGTTTTTTCTCTGGAAAGACAGAAAAGACTTGATGAAAGTGAAGCCATCAGGCAAGTCCGTATTACAGCCTCAGTATGGCAGGCCTTTAAAATATTTGGTAAAAGCACACGAGTTGCATTAAAAACAACAATAACACAAAGACTTCAGGGCTGGTAGTGTGTCTCGGTGATAGTGTTTGCCTGACACACGGTAGGTGAGGCCCTGAGTTCCGTATCCAGTATGGGGAGGGGCAGATGTCAGTGGAATACTGAGTTTTTCTCTTTTCAAACTAAGTCTCCTTTGTCTGATTTTTTGCAGGGTTGTGTACAACTTGGGAATGAGAAGGTTGATTTTAAACCAACAGTATCTAGCAGCACTGCGCCAAATTGCCATTGTGTTTCTCTCCACCCAAAATACCATGGCTGTTTCCTCACATTGACTCATCAGTGTGCTGTTCTTTGGGGTTTCAAAGGGGTCTGCCATGTTTGATTGTATGACCAAGTCACCAAGGAAATAAACAGGAAATCCATGTTCTCCATCTTTTGTGGAAGTGTATTTGAGCTGGTGGCTGTTTTTGTTTGGTTTTGGGGTATGTGCTTATTTTGGTTTGTTTTGTTTTCAGTATTTTCTTTTGAAGGTGATTCCTTTCCTTCTCCCCTTCCTTCCTTCATCCCTCCCTCCTGTTTCTTCCGCGCGTGCGTGTGTGTGTGTGTGTGTGTGTGTGTGTGTGTGTGTGCCTGCCTGTCTGCGGTTTTTTTTTTTTTTTTTCCTCTTTCTGTTTTTGAGACAGGTGAGCCAGCAGTTAAGAGTTCAGAGGCCTGGGGCCTCAGACCACTAACCCCTGCAGCCCTCCTCCTCAGAGCGCTCTCTGTTCCTCTTCCTGCTCCTCCATGGGTACAAACAGGAAAAAAGAACCTCTTTGCAATCTCAGTAGCAGAGAAAAGGAGAGGAGCAGAGGTGATGGTGTCTGGCCCTTCGAGAGCAAAAGAGAACAGAGAGAGAGAGACAGAGACCGAGACCGACCCCAAGCCTGGAATCTGGAGGTCTTCTCTGCTGCTGGGATCCATTGGAAACACGTGTGGCCCAGCACAGAGGTTGACAGTGGCCAGGCTCCAGCAGGTTGCCAGCTAGAAGGTCTCAGCTTGAGCCTCTTTGGTGTGTAACTCAGCTCCCCTCCAGTAACCTTCAAAGTTGGTTACCTTTACCATCCTGCTGGTTCTACCCCTGGACTGAAACCCAGCAGTGGTGTACTATGCTTTTTGTGTCATCTTTCATTATCATTTTATATTGTGCTCTACAGAGGATTGTTCGACATGGACACTTTTCCCTTCAGCCTCTTTGCCACAGGCAAGAAAAACAGGAGGTTGATGGGGGTCCTGCCTCTCTCAACCTCCTCCTCCCTGAGCATCTTCAGCCCCTTTATTTTAATTCTCAATCGTGAAGGGATTGTTTCTGGTAAATGTCAATATTATTATTATTATTATTATTATTACTATTATTATTATAAGACAAAAGGAATTTTTGTTTAAAAGAATATTTAATCAGATTCTGTTCTATTTGAATTGTGACTTGCACCTTTTGTTCCAAGCATTTTTTTTAGGCATTGTAATTGTGAGCCGCTCTTTCTTGTGCCAGTGACAGATGCAGTGGTCCCCTTCCCCCTGCCGAAGCAGCGCATACGCAATAGCTCATTTATGCCATTACCTTTATTCCTCTTCACTATTAGAAACCAAAGTCTTCTCTGCTGGCTGGGGGCTGACAGAGGATCTGGGTTATCTCCTTCTGATCTTCAAAACCAGAGAGAGACATTACCTATACTAACTCTTGACCCTTTTTTCTGGGAAAGGAGAGTAAAAGGTCCCTTGGCACCTCCTACTCTTTCATCCTGAATTTGCACAGAAGAAAGCGGGTGCCCAGTAGGGCCATCCTGACGTTGGCAGGATTCCCGTGCAGGTTGTCCTCCACTGATACCAGCAGTTCAGCTCCAGCGCGCACTGTCCCTCAAGTGTATTTCTGCAATGCAAGAGCCTTTCTGGAGATCTGCCCCATGTTTCTATGGCCCCTATCTCCCCTCCACTTTGTGGGGTTGCCAACTCTTCACTAGAAGGGGGCTTACTTACCAAGAAAGCCCTAGAAGCTATTGTTGACCTCAAAGCCCTAGAAGCTATTGTTGACTTCCCTGGGCTCGTTCCAACTCTGATGTCCCCTGACTTGCCCTACTGCTACCACACACTCAGCTTGATCTGTTTACATGAAACTGACTTATTGAAGAGCAGACTGCCACCCTCCAGCAACCACGCAGATGAATGCCAGTGAGCCTACTAACTGTGCCATCTTGCAAAATACTCTTCTAAAGACATTGTTGCTTTGTATTATAGCCAACATGCGCAATATATGTTGAATGTATATGAATATACTTTCCTATTTCTGTTCTTTGAAAATGTCAGAAGTATTTTTTCTTTCTCATTTATGTTGAACTAAAGGATTTTACAGAATCTCCAGACTCAAGTTGCTAAGACCTTTTGTCCTTGTTTGTGTGGGGCATTTACAACTTAGTAACTTGGCTGGACGGTAGGAGGTTGTGAAAATAAAACCTGATTATGTTCTAATGGTGACATGTTATTTGCCTCATGGTTCAGAGTCTAGTTGGGTGAAGCATCCAGGTGGGTGGAAGCTGGAACACTGAGGCTGGTGAAGTCATGAAGCCTAGGGTGGTGTTTTTGGGGGGTTTTTTGCTACCGGGGATTGAACTCAGGACCTTGTGCTTTTGAGGCTGGCGGTGGAACCACTAGGGTGGGGTTTTAAGCAGGTCATTATCTGCCTTGCATTATGAACCTGGCATTCTCTATAAACCTAACTCAGCGTCATACTATGTCCCCAGGCACCCAGCTTGGACTCTAGTCCTTGGAAAGGAGCATTTACATTGCTGACTTGGATGGAAAACAGGTTCCTTCTGGAAGAGAAAAGCCTTGGAAAGTTCCCACCAGCTGGAGCCTTTTGAGAGTGACATGATGGCCAAATAAGTGATAGGATCAAAGCGGGACTTATAATTTTCTCTTTTTCCACACCTGGATTCCAAAAGGCAGAATGGAATTTCCAGTGAGGAGCCAGGCATGGCTTACTTTCTATGAAGAAAGCTATTGAAGCTGGAAATGCTCAGTCTGCAGGAAGAATGAGAGGAGGCAACTTAGGAAAGCCTTGGAGTCCACAGGGAATTAGAAAGTCACTGTGGGACTGTTTAGAACAGGAAGGGCCTTTTGAGAGTCCTGGTTGTGTACACTCTCAGGCAAGTCTGAAACCGGTGATATACCCAGGTGCCTCCCAACTCCTCCCTGAAGTCAGCCAGGGTGCTGGTAGGCTAGAGGTAGTGTGGGCCTCAGGAGGAAGCAGGGTGCCACCTCCTAGATCTCTAAGCTCTAGAAAAGAGAAGCTATGTGACTGATCTTTACCTGGTCCTCATTCTGACTTCGTGCCAGGCCCCACCCTAACCCAACTGCAAAGATAAGATCCAGGGAGCAGCCATGCCTCCCTCGTGCTGGTCAAAGATGAGCTCTGGCCTGGCCTTTCTCCTGACCAGGAGGGTCATGTGGAGTTGACTTCAGTACTCTGCCCCTGGGTGCTACTTGGGGCTCTGACAAGAGTCTCATATGAGGCTGAATACTCACATCTGGAAACTCCTGAGGCCTGCTCTTTCCTGTGACCCTTTGCCAGTCTGGTGAGCCTGACTTTAGTGTGCCAATGTCACATTCATTGAGCAAATATTTGGTGTCTGTTCTGTGCCAGACCTAGCAAGAGACAGTCCTCCCACCTGCAGACTGACCCATATGTTGGGACATAAATTGTGAAATGCTAGTCATTCTCACAAATTCTACTCGTGCAGCAGCTGCCAGCTCCCCTACGTATGTCAGGGGATCTAGGACCAGTGCTTGATGACCCAATTAAGAAACAGTTGCTTTGGAGGACCCAAGGCAAGGGAAAGAGTGAGGTGGGACCACATTGATGGGCCCTGGATCCACTCACTAAACAGCTCAATCTCTGGGCACTTGACACTTCTGTAACTGGACCCTAAGTCTAATTCTGTGACAAGCCCGGTTTGTTGTTAGTTTTTCCATAAGCCTGTCTTCCCTTATTAAAACATTTTTAGAATTTTTATCAGTACTGATTTGCAGGATGTAATGATCACATTCCTCGTGGAGAGTTGGTACATGTACATAACACAGCTTAATTCTTTTTACTTTTCCTTCCCCTCCTTTCCTCTCTCCCTCCATCTCTTGGGAGCCTTCCTTTCTTTCCAGAATGGAAAAGAGGTTTTTGGAGGAATTAAGCTAAATATTTTGCAATAAAATGGAGCAGCACTGGTAAATAGGCAGTGTGATCAAAATATACAGTGAATGTCTAAACTTTAACTGTATTACAGTAAAAGACTTGTTGCCATTAATTCTCCTCAAAATACTTCCCTTTGCTTCAAACACACTTGTCCCATAATTTTTGTTACTTCCTGAAGCAGTTCTGGAAGTCTTTTGTGTCTTTATGAGATGTGGTCAAATATGTAGTGACTGCTTCTGCCTAGTGCTATCCAATGGAAAGGCAGATTCACTAAAATATTATGGTGTGTCTTCATCCACTTTATTTATGGACCTTGCAACTTCTGGCTCTTCTCCAAAGTCAAAATGACAAGGAAAGGCAAATGTTTTGAATCCATTCAGGACGTCAAGGCATGCCACAATAGCAAACTAAAGACAATCACAAAAGAGGACTTCCAGAACTGCTTCAGAAATGTCAAGAACGATGAGATAGAAAGAGGAGGTGAAGATTTTTTTCCCACATTGTGGGTTGTCTCTTCACACTGCTGGTGGTTTCTCTTGCTGTGCAGAAGCTTTTTAATAAGAAGAGATCCCACTTGTTGATTGTTTGTGCTAGTTCACGGGCAACTGAGGTTTTGTTCATAAAATCTTTTCCTACACTGATGTCTTCAAAAGTTCTACCTAACCTCTGTTCCAACTGGTTCAGAGTTTCTATTTTAATATTTAGATCTTTAATCCATTTTGATCAGTATGGAGATACCTCAAAGAACTAGGACTGGAAGTCCCATTTGACCCTGCTATTCCACTGCTGGGGATCTTCCCCAAAGAATTAAAAGAATCATACCACAGTGATATATGCGCACCCATGTTCATAGCAGCACAGTTTGTGATAGCTAAAACTTGGAAACAGCCCAAATGCCCATCAACTGGAGACTGGATAAAGAAAATGTGGTTTTTTAATAAAATGGAGTACTACTCAGCCATAAAAAGTGAGAAATTAGAGACATTTATAGCTAAGTGGATGCACATTGAGGCGATACTCTTAAGTGAAATAAATAGGACACACATGTGTAAATACCGAATAGTTTCTCTGGTGTGAGAAACTGAAAGTGAGGACTAAAATGTATAACAGGTAATGTGAAATAGGAAGAAAAGGGGCAAAGGGGAAGGAAGTGGGAGGGCTAAGGGAAAGGATAGAGGGGAATGGGATTAATATGAGAAAATGGAAAAATAGGAACAAAATCTTTGTAAATAGGAATGGAGGGGTTGAAGGGAGGGCTGGGCAAGGGTGAAAAATAAGAACCAAGAGAGACTATGTAAAGGTGCAAATTTCCAATGATGAATGTCATTATATTGTATACCTAAAATGTAACAATGATTAGAATGAATTATTGATAATGCAAAATAGGAAGAAAAGGTCCAAAGGGGTAGGGGTAGTGGGAGGGGCAGGGGAAAGGAAAGAAGGGAAAGGAAAAATGATGAGAAATGGAAAAAATGGAAATAAAGTCTTTGTAAATAGGGGAGGATGGAGGGGGTGAACAGAGGGCTAGGAATGGGGCAAAAATAAGAACCAAGATGCATTATGTAAAGGTACAATTCCCAATGAGAAATGTAATTGTGTTGTATACCTACAATGTACCAATAAAAGAATTTAACCAAAAAAAAAGGTAGCAAAGAAAAAAAAAAAGAACGATGAGATAAGTATATTTAAAAAGAGGAAGTATTTTAGTATATGTGCTGCCGAAGTGAGCACAAAAAAGAGGAAGCATTTTGAAGAGGGATTAATGGCAATGTGTCTTTCATTGTAATAAATTTTTAAAACAAATATTCATATTTTTTTTATCATACTGTGTAAATATATTTAAGAAGGAAACTTTCTGCTTGGTAACAGGCTGTCACACAGCACCCTCCAGCACCTTGAAACCCCTGAGCCAAAAAAACCAAGATGTTCTTGAGAGTACTAGACTAACGGAAGCCAACAGGCCACCATCAAAAAACTAAAGTTAGACCTCCTTGACTCCCAGCTCTGCACAGTTCCAACAGCTAAAAGATGTCAGGAAGCCCTTAGCAGCTCTGAGCTACAATTTGCTGCCAGCCAAAATAACAAGGCGGAAATGGCCTCCAGCCTTACAGGAGCATAAGAAGTTAACTGTGAAAGTGCTTTGACCACTGAAGTACTGGCAAATGTTGGATATTAGGCTTAGCCATAATAACTTCAGTAGTAAGCCAAAGAAAAGGTAAAAGAGCAGCAAGGATCCTGTAGTCGAACAAGTAAGCTGCTGAGATCCCTCACACGCTGCTGGGAAGAGCTCTGATCCTCAAGAGACTTCTCTTGGCCTGAGATCCAGTGAGCTGACCCAGAGGGGATCAGCTTCCTCCCTCGGTAAACCAGACAGCTTGGATGGCCAGTAGTAGGCCACCTCCTTCTCTACAGTCCCACAGACTGGTTCTGTCCTGGGAAGGATGCCCCACATCTTAGCATTGCAAGCAAGGCAAAGAAATGTGGATTTCCCTGCCTTCCCCGACTTGTGCTGCTGGGATCTGAGGTCTTGGGCAGCTAGCTAAGGTCTTGCAGTACAAGCATGTTTGTGGCAATAAGGGAATAGAGTCCAGAAACCAAGATTTGGGGATACAGCATAGTTATTCTTTACCTTGATAGCTACCTTTCTAACAGTTTTGCATATATGTTTAAATTTCATGCTTGAAACAACACAAATTTATCTTACAGTTCTGGAAGTCGAAAGGCCAAAATGGGTCCCACTAGGCTAAAATCATGGTGTCAGTGGAGATGTGTTCCCTCTGGAGGCTCTAAAAGGAAATCTGGTCCTTTGCCTCCTCCAGCTTCTGGGGCAGAGGTGCTTATGGCCCCCTTCCTGAGTTCACATTCTCTGACCTCTGCTCCCACTTTCCTGCCCCTCTCCTGCATATTAAAGGGCCCCTTTGGTTACAGTGTGCCCACCTGGATGAACCAGGCTAACCACTCCACCTCAAAGTCCCTAATCACGTTTACCAAAAAAACCCTTTTGCTGTGTAAGGTCACAGTCACAGATTCGAGGTAGAGGTATTTGGATGTGCATATCTTTGGAGGGCCGTTATTCTGCCTGCCACACACTAATCCCTATTAGAACTTTCAGAGATGGCGTGTTCTGTCATTATCTTTGTTTAGCAGATAAGAAACAGGTGTGGGAAGGTTATGTAACTTGCCCAAGGTCATATGGTTAATAAGGGTCATACAGACCAGGATGCAAGCCTCAGGTTTTCTGGTCAAAGGCTTCTCACACACAAAAGGCATGAGACCAGCCACTCTGGATCTGACAGACAGACACCAGGCTGGTTGAGAGTTAGGGAGTTTCCAAGAGAGATGGTGTGGGGCCTGGGTCCCAAGTCCAGAGATGTTTGTTCCAGGTCCAGCCTGACCTCTAACTCTGAAGAATGAGAAAGGAATGTTAAGGAAATTCCTGCAGTTTCTCATGTGGAAGGGGGAAGGGTGGGGAAAAGCCAGACTAATTGGTCTTAAAGTTCCTCTCAGCTTGTACATTCACAGTGACCTGGTAGGAGGGCCTGGCCTTCCCAACCCTTGCAACATGGTGCTGCTAACATCCACCAATACACAACGCTGTCCATTCAGTCTCTCTCAGGGGCACCAACACCACTGATCATTCTTGAATCCATTTTGCTGAAAGGAATGGAGACTCAGTATATAACTTACTCATGGTCCACCTCCAGCAAGATGCTGCCAAAATGAAATAAAAAGCCAGTCTCCTGCCACCAGAGTCCACAAAAGGGTTCTTCCCGACCCTTAGGGACTCCTAAGAGCTGGTATCTATTCCCACCCGTTTGCGATCTGATGTACACACAAACAATGCAAATGCGAAAGTCTTCAAAGTGAGAGACAGAAATGCTGTGCTCTACTTCTGAGATTATGCCTTTTTGGGTGTTAGATGTCTTTTTTGAAGTGATGGTCATGATAGATGGTGAGGTTATCCTTGAGGTGAGGTGGAGGTAACATCTTTACAGGACAAAATTAAAAGTTGGCCACTCCATCTTGGTCTCTAGCATTTGTTTTGAAATGAGTATCTGTGACCTCAATTTGGGGCTCTGAGCCTCTGGTAGGCTCACAAGGCAGCTCCCTGGCATCCCAGCTCCCTTTGCGTAGGGCTTGGAAGGACTGTGGAGGGCGGACAGAGGTGTGCTGCACCTTGGGGACCACAGGAGACGAGTGTTGGACCCAGGGGCAGGGCCCTGAGACCTGCAAACAATCAGTCTCCCTGGAATGCAAGAAGTCAGCTGAGAAGGAGATCTGTGGAGGAGTCCCAGGTCCCTTCCCTCTCCCTGCAGCCTCCACAAGGAACAATGGCAATGGCATGCACTCCCACAGGGGAGGGGGATGGGTGCGGCTGCCCGGATTGACCCCACAAGGATCCTCAAACCTGCAACCACTTCTTTCCTGCCCCGACCTGAACCCTTGACCCCTGCGTTGCAGCCCCTGCAGTTTCCTGTTTGCCCACTCTATTTGCCCGGCACCAGGGACAAAGCTGATCCTTGAACTCTCGGTTCCACATTGCCACAACCAGTGAGCAGTAACAGGGCTCATTTGGGCTTATCAGCCTTCCAGCCCAGCCCCTGCCTGGAAACATAAATAGGCCAGGGAGAGCTGGATGCACAGAGACTGACTCAGAGACTTGCCTGACAGCTCCAGGGAGGTAAGTACTGCTCCCTGCCCCAAACTGCTCTGGCTCCCCAGCTCCAGGAAAGTGATGCTTCACTCTGCCTAGGCAGGAACCGGGTTCCCAGGACCTTGTCTCACTCTAGGCCCCTCCTCCTCCCTGGCTGGAATGTGTGAGGAGCATGAAGCTCCTCATGCTAGAGGCCCCCCTTAGCCAAGCCCCTCTTCTCCTTCAGGTCGCCCACACCCTTCAGGATGAAAGCTGTGGTGCTGGCTGTGGCTGTGCTCTTCCTGACTGGTAGGTGGCCCTGGCCTAGGGAGCCGACCACCAGGGGCCTTCTCCCTATGCCCTGGTGGCCCACCCTGCTGGGCACAGGAAGCAGAGTTTCTCCCTTGACCCTCCCCTAGTTGCAGAGAGCTGGCCTGACCTGGGTCCCCTCTCCAACCCCAGGGAGCCAGGCTCGGCACTTCTGGCAAGGAGATGAGCCCCAGACCTCATGGGACCGCATGAAGGATTTTGCTGCCCTGTATGTGGATGCAATCCAAGAGAGTGGCAAAGACTGTGCGGCCCAGCTGGATGCCTCTGCCTTGGGAAAACAGCTAAAGTAAGGACTCAGCCTGGGCCTGGGGCAGGGGGAGGTCCTGGAGACAGAAAGGCCTGTGGGAAGATGTAGCCAGACTGGCCAAATCCTCTCCTGCTACTGAATGTGCTGGGCCCCATAGAAGGTTGGATAGAGATTCAGGGATAGGATCCTCAGGCAGGGTCACAGGCCCTACAATAATCAGCAACCCCAGCAACACATTGTGTCTGCCAGTGTAGCAACTCCTGCCCTTTTGCACCTCCCTGGGCTGGCTGTCTTCCGAGAGAAGATTGTCCTTCAACGCGGGGCACCAACCCCAGCTCTGGCTCCATCTAGCTCCTCTCTATGCACAGGCCATCAGTACAATGGGACACAGGGTGGAGGTGTTGGAGTCAAGCGTGCATGGGGAAAGCCAGGAACACAGCTACCGCACACCCGGCACAGGTGATGCCAGGCCAGCAGGTCCCTGGCAGTCCAGGGTACCTGGGAAACCACCCCTCAGCCACCTTCTCTCCCACTCCAGCCTGAATCTCCTGGCCAACTGGAACACCTTGACGTCCACTTTCAATAATCTGCGGGAGCAGCTTGGTTCGGTGACCAAGGAGTTCTGGGATAACCTGGGAGAAGACACAGTATGGCTGAGGCAGCAGATGAACAAGGATCTGGAGGAGGTAAAGCAGAAAGTGCAGTCCTACCTGGACAACTTCCAGAAGAAGGTGAACGAAGAGGTGGAGCGCTACCGTGATAAAGTACAGCCACTGGGCAAGGAGCTGCACAAAGACGCCCAACAGAAGCTGAAGGAGCTGCAGGAGAAGCTGGCCCCGCTGGGCCAGGACATCCGCCAACGCGCACGCGAATACGTGGACGCCCTGCGCACGCACCTGGGGTCCTACACCCAGGGGATGCGCCAGGGCCTGGCGAAGCGGTTGGAGGCGCTCAAGGAGAGCGCTCCCGTCTCCGAGTACCAGGTCAAGGCCAGCAAGCACCTGAAAACATTTAGCGAGAAGGCGAAGCCCGCGCTGGAGGACCTTCGCCAGGGCCTGATGCCCGTGATGGAGAGCTTGAAGGCCAGCTTCCTGAGCTCCATCGACCAGGCCTCCAAGCAGCTGAGCGCCCAGTGACGTGCCGGCTGCTGCCACCGCCTCCTCCCTTCCCCACCATTCAGTTTCTTAGAATAAATGTTTCCGAAGTGGAAAACAGCTTCTTTCTTTTGGGGGAAATGAAAGTGGGATGTGGGATACTGGAGGGGACAACCAAGGGTGCTGGGATGGGGTGGGAGACTTTGGCACCAAAGGTGGGCCTTTCTGCCTGGCCTCAGGAAAGATGAGCTCAGGCTCAGCCTCTGCAGGGCCTTTATCCATGGTGGAGGTCCTGCAGGGCACCTGGCTGGTTAGCAGCGGGGAGCAGACCCCCTGTCCTAACATGGCTCATAGAAAGGAGGTAACAGAGGGCCAGGCAAAATGACAGGTCACCCAATTCCAAGTGCCCAGCAGAGGATCAAACCCTAACTGCTCAAGCCTGTCTCTGCAAAGAGAAGTGGTCCCCTTCCCCAGAGGTGTGCCCCTGTGGGACCTGGGCAGTGGAGTTGTCCACCTGGACACAGGACAGGAGCTTCTTCCAGCTTTATGGCTCCAAGCTGGATGCAATGGGCTTCAAGGAGCCCTTAGAACTTGAAGGATTTCAGCAGGTACAAATGACATCCTTGGAGCTTGCTCCTTTCTCCTTTATAAATTTGAAAACCTCTTAAACCCTTCCCTTTTCTTTTTCAAGAGAGCAGGGTCACTCTTCTACTCCCCAACCCCTAAACAGGCACAGCTTTGAAAGCCAGCCGTGTACCCATGTGGCTCTAGGCACTGCCACCCACTTCTGCCAGCTCTGGCTCATGTCAGAAACGTAAGCACCATCTCTTCCAGGTATTTAGCATAGTTTTATTCCCAGGTGCCTTCCTATCCCTCACTGCATTCTTCCCAAAATCTGGGTAGATTGTCATTAGATCCAGATCACCATGTGAAGCTGAATCTTGGAGATGTGAAGTCACCACTGAGTGAAAGGCAAGATCAGCTGGGCTGCTCCTTTGAGACCCATCTGCCCATGGGCATCTATGATAATTTTTTTAAAAAATGTGTGCTTAGGAACCAAGTTCATATCAGTGTGCACACATATGTGCACATTTTCACATGTATATCCCTCCTTGGAGCTGTCCCCTCTTCACACACTCATCTGTGTGTCCCCATATGCATGCACGTGTCTTTCGCAGAGCTGGGCAGTACATTCTCTCCTCTCCCCACCCCCACAGGCCCTTTTTCCCCATGGTGCAGGTCTCTGTCCCTTCTCCATCTCCAGGGTATCTTAATGACCCCTTGAATAAAGGAGCAGGCTTTTTAGTTTCTAATCGTCCAGAGCTACAAAAAGTGTCAAGTCCGGGCAGGGGATTTAGCTCAGTGGTTTCGCCACCTGCTGCACAGGCACAAGGACCTGAGTTCGATCCCTGGTACCAAAAAATAAAAGTGTCAAGTCAGATTTGGGTGGGGACATTTCCCAAATGTGGGTACTGTAGTTGGGCAGAGAGAGAGAGAGAAGCCAGGTGGATTTCCAAAGAGGAAGCAGTCCAGGTGTCCAGGTAGGGCTGGTTGCACCAGTGCCACCAGGATCTGGAAGAGAGCTCTCAACAGCTGGCAGAGGACTAACAAAGATTTTTTTTTCCATGTCAGCTGAGCAGAACATAGGCAGCTGACCTGGGCTTGAGGGCTCAAGGTCTGGCCCTGCCATTTGGTGGCTCTGTGACACTGGGCAAGAGCCTTTCTAAACATCAGTTCATCTGAACCTTGGTTCATCTGTAGAGTGGGACAACTTTGTGGTCCTGGAACTCTGATGTATATCTGTTGGGCAGTGGGTACACAGAGAAAAGCCCCTGCTGGGATGACCATGTGTTCCTTCTCGGTTTCCAGGATATTGGAAACCATTCCAGTCCTGGTCCTAAGAGGCCAATCAGGTCAGCTGACAATCACTTCAGATGCTGCAGATGCTGTGCCAGAGGCCTTTAAACACTGCATCATTGGGTTCTCACAACAAATCTCCAGTGTCATTATTATTGTTATAATTGGTTTCTTGAAAAGGGGTCTCACTATGCAGTCCAGGCTGGCCTTGAAGTTGCTATGTAGCCCAGGCTGGCCTCAAACTTGTGATGCTCCTGCCTCAACCTCCTGAATGCTGGGATTACAGGCATGCAGCATCATACCTGACTTCGGAGGCACTGTTGTGCCTACTTGACAAGTCAGAAACTGACGCTGATATAAAGTGGTGGAGCCAAGACAAGAGCCTACCTGAATCTTACTGCCTGCATCCCACCTACTTCCACTGGAGGTACTTATGAGGCCTCTGTGGTCTGGGGAATGTGAGTCAGCTGCTCAGTTTTGGTGAACAAACGCAATCTTAACTCTGATGTTGACATAGCAGTGCCAACCTGACACAGAGCACACACTCAAGTCATGCCCTACAGCACTTGACAGTTGATAATGTTTTGTCAAATCTGTCATTCCATGTGACCTTTCACACAAGCCTGTCAAGGCAAGCAGGTTAAGTGGGTTCTTCCTACCCTACAGACGAAGAAACTTGGGCTAAGAGACCACACAGCCCAGGCCCAGCTCTTTTCCGTGCCCACACATACACAGCACATGAGGGTCACCCTCTCACGGCAGCTTCTCATCGAGCTTTATTGGGAAGCAGCACAATTGGAGGTGGCCAGGTCTAGGGTGGGCTGGGAAGGCACTAGAGTATTGTCCTTTTCAAGCTAATTCAGGGGCAGCCCTGGAGGCCACAGGACCCAGGGAGCTGGCAGGAAAGGTGGACAGGCACTTGGAACCTTGAGGTCTCAGATGCCCTCAGGGGCCGGGGTTGGGCTGGCCTCCTCAGGGGTAGCATCCCAGAACCCGAATCCAGACCACTTGCCCTTGAAGGAACTCCAGTAGTCTTGCAGGGAGCTTAAACTGTCACTCATCCAGCCCCTGGGGGGAGTCAGAGAGGCTATGGTAAAGAGGAGTGTGAGAGCTGTCCTGGCTGTGGGGCCCGCACCCCCCAACATCTCTGCTGGCTTTCCCACCTCCCCCCAGCCTTCCCAGCAATGGCCCCGAGGCCTCAGGCAAGAACCACAAGCAGCTGCCACCCCAAGCAGAAGAGATGCAGAGGTGGTAAAGGGAATTAGCACAGTCTAACCCCACATTTCTCCAGATTGGGTCAGATCGTTGCCCACCCCCCCACCCCCCCTTGGGCCCAAGGCGCAAAGTGGTGGGTGGGCGATGTGTAAGGTCAGGGCCACTTTGCCTTTCAGGCCAATGCCATCCCCTGGTGCTATGCACCCTGGGGACTCTCGGAGGTGGGAAAGAGGGATAGGGAAGCTGCCCCCACATTCAGAAAATAACTAGGGGGTGACTAGCTATATAATCTGAGCCAGGCCCCCTAGCCTCTCTGAGCCTCAATTTTCTTTCCTGCAAAGTGAGGAAAATATACCTAGTCCACAGCCCATCCTGAGGACTAGCAACATTCGCAAAGGCCTCTGGCACACAAATGCCTCTGAAGCCAGCAAGGGAACAGGGAGAGTGGAGCACTCTTGGGTAGGACGGGCTGGGAAAGCCAGGACAGACTTCTGCCCACATGAGCAGAGGAACACACCCCTCCACTCCAGGCTGGAATCGGCAACCCTCTTGCCCCACGGGGAGGAGAGAAAAGTGGCAGTGAGGGCTCAGCTGGGCCACCTTAGGGCTGTACTGGGAAGAAAGGAGGGCACTAGAGAAATGGAACCCCACCTCTGACATCTCTGCCCTAGCCCCTTGAGGGAGCAGGGAGGTGCAGGGAGGGGCAGGCCTGGGCTGGGCTGAGAGAGTCACACTCTTGTCACCAGAGCTCTTTCCAGGGGAGGGCAGGCCAGGTGGGGACAGAGGGAGCTGGCACAGAGGACCAGGAGGCAAGGCCTAGTGGGCGTACCTGGCCTGCTGGGCCATCTGAGAGTCCTGTACCCTGGTCAGTGCGTCCTGGGCAGTCTTGGAGGCGTGCTCCATGTAGCCCTGCATGTAGTCCTGCATGTAGCCCAGGAGGGAGGCGTCCTCGGTCTCCAAAGCTCCTGCCAGAGAGCAGAACTGAGCAGGAGTGGCTCAGCCTCCGGGGCCCCTTGTCTCTCACCTGGCCACCACTTACAGGGCACAGGAGCCCCGAACCACTTCCCACATTGCCTGCAGCCCAGTCCCCAGAAAGCGCTTACGGGCAGAGGCCAGGAGTGCCAGGAGGGTCACAGCGAGGAATACCCGGGGCTGCATGGCACCTCTGCTCCTGCAGGGAAGAGTCCTGTGAGGGCCTCCCACATCTCCTCACCTCTGCGCCCTTGGGGTGGGTCAGCAGGAGAAGGGGTTACATAGGCTCTCGGGCAGGGACGCCACAGAAACCCCCCAGATGGGGAATGAAGGCCTCCACTCCCTCAATTCCCTGTCTGGGCTTGGGCTGTCAAAGGCTTCTTCTAGCCCTCAGCAAGCAGAGAGAGGAGAGATGTGCAGTGTGGGGGCCAGTTCCAGTCCAGCCTGACCACCGCCCTTTCCTGGGCCTCTGTTTCCCCAGGCTGCAGTTGGGGATGGAGTACATGCATGCCACCCGAAGCTTCCTGGGCTCCTGCAAGCTGTCTCCCAGGCCTTCTGGTTGGGCACAAGGAGCCTTCTCTGGCCACGGCTGTCCTCCTCCCTCCTCCCCCCAGCCCTGTCCCAAGGACATTACCTGGAGTAGCTGCTTCTAGGTATGAACTGAGTTGGAAGGCAAGAGGGTTCTGACCTGTTTTATATTGTCCCCAGGGGAGGACAGCGGGCACGGAGGGCCCAGTGAGCAGGGCAAAGGTCACCTGCTGACAGTGGAGAGCAGGGCCTGAGGCAGAGAGAACAGCTGCACCTGCTGCCAGGGGAGCTGAGGATCCCTGGGGGCTCTGCCCTCTGCTCATCTGCCCCCCACCCCCACGGCCACATGGTCAGCTCCTGGGCAGGCCTGGGAAGACCCCACTCCTTCCCCAGACCGGCTCCCCAGCAGGCTGGTGAGAAGGGGGAGGGTTTGGGGATGAGCCAGGGGCTCCGGAGTCACCTCAGCCCTTCACACATGAGTTTTCAGGCGAGTGCTTCCCCGCCAAGCCCTGCACCAGCCTGGAGTCAGAGTGATGGGCTTCCTCAGTCCTGAGAGTCACTCGGGGGTGGGGTGGGGCATCTGCAGTGCAGTGCAGAAGAGCAAGGGGCAGGGCCTGTGTGGGGAGGCAACAGCCAGCTTCACACAGCCCCCAGCACCTCCACCTCAGGGCTTCTATCATACAGTGTTCACAACAGCTGAGCCAGGGCAGGGGTTGGATGGAAGAAGGGCAAAGGGCACTCTGAGCCCAAGGCCTTTGTCCATGTCCCTCCTGTGTCCCTCACCTTGCCCTCTGGACCCACTGATAACATCCCCAGGGCAGGGACCGGGAGCCCTCCCTGAGCCAGGTGGCCCCAACACTCCTCTCCCTGGGCTCTGGGCTCCGCCTGCGGCTCTGATCTAGTGGCAACTGGAAGGAGCAAGGGTGGGAAGGCCAGGTAGCAGGGGTTCAGGGGCACAGAGGAGTTCGGGGTGGGGCTGGTACTGCCCTGGCTTCTTGGGGCTAAGATGTTCCCAGAGGGTACACTGAGGGCCACAGGGAGGATGGCAGCATCAGGGAACATTGCCTTCTGGCTGCTGGGACTTTGGAGCCTGGAAATCCTAGCTTCCAGTGATGCCTTAGTCTCTCACTCATGTGACCATGGCCAGAGATCTAATCCTATAGCCTCAATTTTCTCCTCTGTAAATGGGAATCCAACACTGATTTTCCAGAGTTGCAGAGACAAGTTAACGAAATACTGCACAGACAAAGCAGCTGGTTCATAGGGGGCTTCCCCAATCTCCCTCCCTCCCAAACACTGTGTCCTTCCCCCAGTCAGTCTAGTTTAAGGCAGGAGGAGCCATCAACATAGAAAGAGGGCTTTCGGCAACAGCCATGCTCCCAGGAAGAGGAAATTAACCCCATAATGTGAAGCCAGAGTCCCAAGGAAGTGGCCTGGCCCTACCCTCAGTATTCTTTACTTACAGCTGAAATCTGAATTTTCTCTATTAGGGATTCATTCCTTTGCTGAAGACTTTGTTTTCTGTTAAAATGCAAGTAGTCAGAACTCTGTGGATTAAATATTAACTCCATTTTATAGGTAAGAAGCCTGAGACCCAAAGAGGGAGAGACCTACCCACATGAACACAGCTGGAAATGGTAGGACAGAAAGAAGTCCTTAAACATACAGACAGACTGGAGAGGTGAGACCCCCTCACTTGAGCAAATCTGCTTCAGCTCACTTTCTGACAACACTTGGTGAGGGTGGGGAGGAAGGAAGGTGATTCAGAGTCCTGGGAGATTTGGGCACTGGGGTGGGTAGAGGTGTCACAGTGGCCATTTTCCTCTTCTGTCCCAGGCTGTTCCTTACCCCAGAGGCAAAGGGCACAGTGGGGATCTTATCAGGGCTAGGAGGTGGCCAGGTCCCTGTTCACCTGTCCTCCCTGTCCACCTGTACCCCCATAGCCCAGGTGCTCAGAGAACATGAGTGGAGAGCCTAGGTGTGTGCCCATGTAGCTGGCATCCTGTGTGTGATGACTCTTGGGACCCCATATCTTTCAAAGTGTCTGTACCCCTCCCAGCCAGCCAGCGGGGCTTCCATAGGGCCCTCTCAGCGGCTGGCCCAAGCTGCACTCCCCATGAGTCCCCTGGAAAGATGGGCTCCACAGATCTGGGGAGGAGCCAGCTGTGGATAGGGAAACAGGGGCTGACCAGCTAGGGCTGAGAATGTCTTCTCCCTCTGCTTCTCTATGTGTCCAGAGCAGCTTTAGCACAGGAGTTCCCAGACCCAGGTCCCTGCCACTGATTTGACCTGGTCCCATTCAGCCTTGCTGGCCAGAAGCCCTTCACTACACTTCTGCTTGCTGCAAGTTCTTCCTAGTGTCCTACCCAGATTCTCCTCTGCTTAGTTCTGCCCCAGAAAGAGGGCTAGCATGAAGCTGACTCAAGGATGTGTGGCTATGTGACTTGTGCCTAGTGGTATGTCTTCCCTGCCCCCGCCCCCCATCATATCCCTGGCTGTGTCTGAGCTGTCTGCTCCTTGTGCTGGCCTTTGGAATGACCCCTGTGTCACTCTCTTGTATAGACAAGAAGGGGCAGCTGTAGGTAATGTCAGACTATTAGCCTCATGGCCTCACCAGCCATGAAGTCTGTCTGAGCAGAGACAAGGAAACTGAAGCTCAGAGAAGGACGTTACTGTCTGAGATCACATGGGCCTTTTGGGAGGCCCAACTGGGAGGCGGAGTTTGCTCTTTCCTGTCACAGCACAGGCACTGCGCTCTTGTCCTCTCCCTGACCAACACAAATCACCCATAGGTGGATACTCACAGACACAGACACAGAGGTGGGGAAGAAAGGGCAGCACTCTTGGTGTCACACCCCTCCCTGCAGAGCCAGTGTGTGTACAGCCTTGCCAGCTCCTTGGCTCTGGCCCCAAGCTTTCTATTGCAGACAGTTTTGATTTTTTTTTTGTACCAGTGATTGAACTAGTTTTGATGTTTTTGTACTTCTGTGAATCTTCCTCATCCTGGCAGGTGCTCTTAGACATGCTCTAGTGACTCAGGCCCTCCCAGTGTAGAGACACCCGGTGAACAGGTGACCTAGAAGCACCGCTGGACCTGTCCCATGCTGGCACCACCTGCAAGTCCAGGCAGTCAGCAGACTGCAGCTGAGGTGTTTTTCATGACTCACCTGACAGAGGGGGAAGGAGGATGGCTCTGAGCAATGATCTTTACAACCGCCCCAGGCTGGACCTTGCCTGATTTGACAGCAGGATGGGGACAAACATGTCAATGTCGCAGGAAGGTGAGCCTTTTAGGGTAAAACATGGCTGACACTTACTAAGCACCTACTAAGGCATCAGGCATTGTCGGGAGCATCACATAGATCATCTCGCTGGCTTGTGAGCCCAGGTGGAAGGTGCTAGGATTACTTTCATGGAAGGAACCAGGGCTCAGAGAAGTTATGAGACACGCCCAAGGCCACCCAGGCAGACACAGGAGAGCCCAGACACAAACCCAGGGATTCAGATGCTGGAGTCTGAATTCAAAAACTCCTGAGCTGGCATGGAGTGCTCAGGAACGAGTAAACTCTAGGACAGTAGAGGCAACCATGGTGATGTGGGGAGCACTGTAGGGTGTGGGGAGCACTGTAGGTTATGGGGACCCAGCATAAGGGAGGCAGGCATTAAAGGCCTTTTCATTGTCTTCAACCTCATGAGACATTGGGCCACTCTGGACTAAGAAGAAAAGGAAGGGAAGAAGAGGAAGGGGAGGAGGAGGAGAGGAATGGTGGGGGAAGAAGGAGCAAAGAAAAGAAAGGAAAAAGAACGGAAGGGAGGGAGAAATGGTAAATCAGACAGCACAATCGCATTCTGCTCTGATGGCTGTCATTTTACAAAGAAGTGGTTGGCCACCTATGTCTAGCATGGTGCTCCAGACAGCAGCCGACAGCGCAGCACAGCAGTGTTCTCACCTAGTCACAGGGGTGCACGGTCCAGTGGAGCCCCCATGTGACCAGGTGTGACATCTTCTCCGGAGATGCAGGAAGAAGTCTGTGAAGAAGACCAGCACTGCCACCCTCCATCCCAGTGAGAGAGCCGAAGGGAGCCTCAAGTCTTGCCATTCTGCATAAGCCTGGGGTGCGGCTGGGGTCAGCAATCAGGCCTCAGGCTGCCCCCACTCTGTCACCTACCTCTAGCCCACCTGGTCACCCTCAGAGAGGGTGAGGCCTCTACTGCACTTCCTGCCTTGGTCCAAATCAGGAAAACACTGTGATTAGTAACAACAAGGACTAGTTTTCAGTGCTTACTCTGCACAGCACCATCCTGCCCTTTTCACAGGCACCATCTTATTTCACATGTGGAACACTGTCACTGTTCCGAGAGGAAACTGAGGCTTGGGGCTTTGCATAGTTAACCACCCAAGACAGCACAGCTTGGCAATGGAACACAAAGCACACTCACACTTACTATTAACCCCTTCAGCCAGGTCCCTGCCTGTCCCATCACCTGCACAGAGGCTGTTGTGGGCACCTCCGGAGCACAGCACCTTCTGGGCACAACTCCATAGGATTCCACCTGTAGCCCTGCATGGGCCTGATCCAGTTTGCCGCTCTGGGAAGGGGTCTGTGTTGGTAGCAGTTGTGGGAGTGGCTGGCTGTCTCCACTGGGCCAGCCAGAGGAGATGTGGACCTTGTCCACCCAGCCTGGCACAGACCCAGAGCAGCCAGCAGGGCCCCTGGAGTGTTGTCCTGCTTGGGGCTCCTCTGGGCCACGTTTCTCCCACAGCTCATGACTCCCACTCCTGCCCTCCTGCACTGGGTGGGGCCCAGCCCAGGCCATCAGCTTCCACGTAGTCTTAGAGTCAGTAAAGTCCAAGAGGCCTCCTGGGAGTGCGTCACCCTCCAGCGTGGAGGCACCCTGGGGAGGGAGGTGGAGAGGGCACCTTGGAGGAGCTTTAAATGCCTGGCTGGTTCTGGCTCCAGTCAGTTCACTCAGCAGCACAGGTGAGCCAAGAACCTGTCCTCCACTGACACCAGGAAAAAAGCCAGAGCGGTGGAGACTCCTCCAGCCCAGCCAGGAGCCCAGGATGTTTCTGAAGGCTGTGGTGCTGGGCCTGGCCCTGGTGGTTGTTAACAGTAAGTAGAAGCTGTCTTTGGACCAGGTCTCCGGCTGCTGCAGTGAGTGGGCAGGGTGGAGAGCCTGGGCCAAGGCCAGCAGGTACTTCAGAGTAGCCATAGGCCCCAGGTTGGACACAGGGGCTATCCAGCTGCCACACGGGAGAGCTGGCACTTGCCCAGTGGTAGGCAGGCCCACTACATTGGTGCTACCAGGCCAAGGCCAGAGAGAGAAAGTGAGTGGGTTCCTCACCATCCTCTAGTCTTCACCTCAGAGCTGGAGTTGAGGAGCCAGGGAAGAGACAGGTGCGCACGAATTGCTTTCTGTTCCCTGCCCAGGTGCCCGGGCAGAGGTCAGTGCTGACGAGGTGGCTACTGTGGTGTGGAACTACTTCAGCCAACTGAGCAACGATGCCAAGGAGGCTGTGGAACATCTGCAGAAGTCAGAAATCACCCAGCAGCTCAAGTAAGGAGGTGCAGGGTGGCACAGCTTGCAGAGCAGGGCTTCTTAGAGGCTATTCGAAGCATTGGCAAGGCCTGAGTGCAGAGGTAGGACACAGCACTTAGGGTACTCACTGCCCTGCCACTGACTGGGGGCCCTGGGCTTTCTGGATCTAGATGAAAACAGGGAGGTTGTACAAAATAATCCCTAAGGCACCTTCCTGCTTTAATGTTCTAGAGTTTGACAAATGGCCACATTCTATCATTGAGGCTCATGAAAGAAAATGAAGGTGGGAAATGTCACATGGACTGGCTTCTAATATATTCCAGAAGCAGATTCTCCCATGAAATCAGGGGAAGTGAGGTGGGGCGTTCGGGAAGCTCCCAGGCACATGTAAGGAAATCAGCACCTTGTGCTGCTGAGGTCAAAAACATTCTAAGACACAATGTGACTCTCTGTTACAGCACACCTAGGCTGGAGGGCTCCTAATCCACTCCCATTCCTCACAGCCAAGGAGGGGAAGCAAACTGCTTGAGGTCCTGTGATGGGTGGACACTCAAACTCAGTGGGAAGTGCAGAGATACTTCAATGTAGTAACAGTCTGTTACACCTATTCCCTCTTATCAGGACCCCAGCTAGGGAGGTTCACAAGGGAGAAAGATGGGTGAGCTCTGGACCTCCTACCCAAACACCTGTGCTATGCAGATGTGTATAAGGTGAGTGTTGCACATGTGTAATGGTGGCTTTCTATGCCCTTCCCCTGCAGCACCCTTTTCCAGAACAAAGTCGGGGATGTGAACACCTACACCAGTGAACTGCAGAAGAAGCTGGTGCCCTTTGCCACTAAGCTGCACGAGCGCCTGACCAAGGACTCAGAGAAGCTCAAGGAGGAGATTCGAAAGGAGCTGGAGGACCTGCGCACCCGCCTGCTGCCCCATGCCCAGGAGGTGAGTCAGAAGATCGGGGACAACGTGCGAGAGCTGCAGCAGCGCCTGGGGCCCTATACTGAGGAGCTGCACACCCAGGTCAACAAGCAGGCAGAGCAACTGCGCAGCCAGCTGACTCCCTACATGCAGAGCATGGAGAGTGTGGTGCGGGAGAACGTGGACAACCTGCAGGCCTCCCTGACACCCTATGCTGAGGAGTTCAAGGCCAAGTTCGACAAGAATGTGGAGGAGCTCAAGGGGCATCTCACACCCCATGCTGAGGGGCTCAAGGCCAAGATTGACCAGAATGTGGAGGAGCTGCGCCGCAGCCTGGCCCCTTATGCGGAGGATGTCCAGGAGAAGCTCAACCACCAGCTCGAGGGCCTGGCCTTCCAGATGAAGAAGAACGTGGAGGAGCTCAAGGCCAAGATCTTCGCCAAAGCTGAGGAGCTGCAGCAGAGGCTGACGCCCATGGTGGAGGACGTCCGCAGCAGGCTGAGGGGCAACACCGAGGGGCTGCAGAAGTCGCTGACACAGCTGAGCAGCCATCTGGACCAGCAGGTGGAGGAGTTCCAGAGAAACGTGAAGCCCTATGGGGAGACCTTCAATGGAGCCTTGGTGCAGCAAATGGAGGAGCTCAGGCAGAAGCTGGGCCCCTACTCAGGGGACGTGGAAGGCCACTTGAGCTTCTTGGAGAAGGACCTGCGGGACCAGGTCAGCTCCTTCTTCAGCACCCTGGAGAAGCACCAGGACAAGCCCCTGGCCCTCGTTCTCCCAGAACAGGGTGCTCCTGGAACAGCGCCAGAGCAGCCCCAGGAGCAGCCCCAGGAGCAGCCCCAGGAGCAGCAAGAGCCCTCCCCTTTGGAAAGCTGAACTGCCCCTGGTGTCCTCGCCCTGTTACCATGGACACCTGCCCTGCCCTGCCTCCTGTCTGCCCAGCAGTCCCTAAGCACTTCTTGTACAAACTTGAAGATACATGCCCAGTGGGTGGTGATGCCCCTTCTCCATACTCAATACAGTTGCTGAGAAACTAGCCCTATCTGGTTGTCATGGAACTTCTTGTGAGGGGAGGAGAGCACTGACTGACAGAGCTTAGCAATTATCTGGCAGAACACGTTGGGAGACACTGAGGGTGAGACTACAGGAAAGGGAAGGGCTAGTATGTTGGGGAGGGGTGCTGGGGAGAGCTCTAATAGGAGGAGGAAAAGTAAAATGTCACACATCATCTGAAGACAAAATATGAAACCGCTCAGTCATTCAGGCAACAAATATTTATTGAACACCCTTGATGTGGCAGGCATTGTTCTGGGCACCAGATGTTAGCAAACAGCTTTCGTGAAGCTGAGAGTCTGCACTGGGTCTCACGCTAAGAGGGACACCTACAGGTGAGCAGGACATTGTCCCTCACTGCACAGTGGAGAAGATAGTCCTACCTGGCATATGACAGCTGTGCCTTTAACTTCTTTATGTAAAGTTGAGTTTAACCCAGCTCCTCATTATAAAAGTGACTCTTGCCTGTTTGAGAAATTTCTTGACCCCTGACTAAACCCATGGGCTCCCAGAATTGAGGAACAAGGCCTAGGGATGTGGACAAGTCTAGGGAACAGGGCTGAAACAGGTGCCAGAGCCTGGGAAGCCTTGGGATGCTCTGCCCTCAAGCCTCCTGCCAAGTGGCAGGAGTGTCTTCTGTCTAGGGTGGAGGCTGCAGTTCTGGGATGAGGAGCTTTCCTCAGCACAGCCAGCTGTGGGTAGCTGCAGCCTCTGGGATGAGGTCCCCCTCCAACCTGGGAGATTCACACTCTTCCAAGAAGGGAAACTCAGAGGAGTGTCAGTCCAAAGGTCTTGACATCTTGATTGCTGGCCCTGACCCAGGTCTGTGAGTCTAGCCATCACCCCCCTCCTCCTCAGAGTAGGGGGCAGATCTTCAGGGCTGTCCTGGAAGAGGCCTAGAATGCTCTGTGGGGAAGGCCCCTGGGAGGGTGTCCCAGGAACTCCTCCCTCCCTCTCTCCCCAGGTGCTCAGGATGGCAGTAGCAAAAGCTCCAGCTGCTAATGCCAGCCTGAGCACCTGCTTCTTGGGAGGGATGTATGCTTGGGGATCAGGGAGACAGGGGTTTTGATCTGGGCTTCTCAATTGACTATGGGATGATTTGGGGTAGCTGATAGATCCTCTTTTGGAAGGCAAGAATGACAGTCCTCAGCTTTGAGAGTTGTTCTGAAGGTCTAGTGGAGCAAGGAGTGCCAAGCACTTAGCATAATATTGTGTGTAGAGTAAACGTGCAATAACTGGTTTACTTCTTACTGCTGTAGCACAGTGCCCAGTGTATGTGATCTCCAGCTGCCCTCACTCCTGCACTCTAGGTCAGTAAGGTTGCCACAGCCACCTCTGCCTCTGGTCATTGGCCCTGTAGGAGTCTACCTGTGGACATACCTTAATGAGCCCAGCAGAACCCAGAGGCTTACTAGCTGCCTCTAGGAGACAGCCACACAGAGCAGTGAGGCACTGTGAGGACACCGCATAGAGGCTGGGCAGCCTGTTTCTGAGCATGTCTGGAAGTTCAGAGGTGCTGCTAGACCTCACCTGGGGACCACCTGTTTGAGCACTGTCTCCACCCCCAGGGCCTCAGTGTCTCCCAGAGCTTGGTCCTTAGTATGAGTCCTGGGTAGGGCTCCTGAGTCTTTCCCACCACCCCAGGACTGTCTCTGAGGGTCCTGTCATGGTCCTACTCCTGGTCATCGTCTGGTCTCATCTGATCATCAGTCTTCTGGGTCACTGACCTGGCAGATGTCTCCTGGTAACAACACTGCTTGTAGCTGCTACAATAGAATGAGTATTTATATCCCCCAAGTTCATTTGTTGAAATCCTAACCCCCAAGGTGATGTCATCAGGAGGGGCTGTAGGAGGTGATTCGATCATGACAGCAGAGCCCATACAAATGGTAGTGTCCTTAAATAAGAGGCCCCAGAGAGATCTCTCAGTGCCATCTATGAGCCAAGAAGCTACCCTCATCTGACACCAAATATGCTGGAGCCTTTATCATGGACGTCCCAGCCTCCAGGACTGTGAGCAAGAAATCTGTTTATGAGCCACCCGGTTTGTGATATTTTGGTAAAGTAGCCTGAATGGACTGAGACAACTGTACAGCTTCTGAATTTCCCTTGCTTGGTGAGTTTCAAGGGGAGTCAGAGGCTGCCTCCATTTATAGACTCTAAAAATGCCAGCCTCTTGACATACAGCTCCCTTACCTTAATCCAGTATCATCATAGACCTCTGCTTAGCAAATCAGACATAATTTCCCCTGACTGGTGAAAAAATAAAACAGAGCTAATGGAGAGTCCTTTCTGGGATGGGCAGTTCGTAGCAGCCTAGAGCCTCCATCCAGGGCTTAGTCCTAGCAGTGGCCACTAGGCAGCCTGGCTGTCCTGGTCCAGTGATGGCAGGACAGCTGTCTCCCTGGTCTAGTTTTGTGGAGTGATCACAGCCATGTTTCCTCTTGGCTTCCTTTATTGTCTATTTTCCAAACCTAGTACTCCAGCTTTCCTTGAAATTCCTAGAAATAGTTCAATACATTTAGCTTCTGTGTTTATCTTTCAAAGTAGGTATCTGTGGCTATCAAGAGCCTTGATTGACAACCCCTTCTGTCTATTGGGGAGGTTTCTGCTGCCTTGGCCCTTGGAAGCCACATGCTCACCCCTGTCCTGCTCTAGTTGTCTGAGGTATTCTTAGTCCTCCATGGATCTGGGCCTGTCTCTCAAGGAAGGCAGTCTTCCCTTTTTGTTTTAAGCCTTTTTGTTTCAGTTTCCTGTGACCCAGTCAATCCTGGGGTCGTCCCTAGCAGGGAAGACGATGGGACAACTGGGAAGGTTGGAAATGACCATCTGTCCTTGCTTTGGCAACCAGCCCCACCTGCTATTTTCAGAGACATTCTGACAGCCACTCTCAGATCTCCTGTGAGGTCCTGAGGTTAAGAAAAATGTCCTGATTTTGTTTAGGGAATCTTTTTATTTATGAGAAAATGCCTGAGAGATTTTTAAGTTAAAACAACAAAAAAAGCAAGGCCCTGGTGATTATAGTTACACAGCCCTGTTGTTATAGTTCAGATCTTGGCTATCCCCCAGAGGTGCATGTGTTGACAGCCTGGCTTGGCTTGGCTTGGCGCCCAGCCTGTGGTGCTATTGTAGGGTGGATGAGGATGTGGGGCTAAAGCAAGGAAGTTGGGCCATTGAGGATGTGCCCTTTAAGAGGATGTTGGAATCCTGGCTCCTTCTTCTCTTCCTCTTTGCTTCCTTGCTACCATCAGAGGAGCAGCTTTCTCTACCATGTGCTCCCACCAAGATGTGCTGCCTTGTCACAGGCCCAACAATAATGGACTGAAGCTGCTGAAACCCTGAGCCAAAACAAATCTTTCTTCCATTTAAGTTGATTTATTGCAGGTATTTGTTATGGTAATGGAAAGCTGATGAATCCACCTGTTCAGGAAGACACATGGGTACTTGCATGTGAACATGTCAGGAGGTGAAAAGGTTCCCAGCCCAGCTAGACCTGCACACCCCTCTGGGGAGGACACTGACAGGGTGTGCTAGCTGCTGAGCAGGAGGCTTGAGAGCGGGCAGAAGGGAGACCGTAAAACAGAGAGAAACTGTTCCCTGCCCAGGCATCTGAAGAGTGAGAGGAGGAGGAGTCACAGAAGGGAAAACCTGGGATAGAAGGGAAGGGTAGGCCCCTTCCCCTACTGATGGCCCCACAGCAAGGGTTGTAGAACTTTGATGTGGCAATTGATCTGATGTTCGAAGCTCTCTATAGTGAAAGATTTTTAAAAACACATTATAAGTACTGTTTGGATTCATGTAATTTTTCCAACAGACTATGACACCTAAGATGCAGTAGATGCGGGAAAGCCTGTTCAGAATGTGGAGGGATGTTACCTAGCAAGGGATGGAGTTGGGATTTGACACTGGGCCATCTAGCTACACGGCTTTTCTAAACTCCCAAGCTGTGGCACCAGGAATCCTCACAGAGCAGAGGGATTCCATCCTGCACAAGGGTCAGGCTTGGGCTCTACCTGGTCATACTGGAATCCCAGTATCTGGCTTGCATAAAAGAAAGACATCAGGAATCCTAGGCTTAGAAGGGAGGGGTTTCATTTTCCAGCACAGATTTATGTAGCATTGGGATTTAAGAAAAAACTTTTAGTCTTACCCTTTTTTTTCCCCCATGCTGGGGATGAAACCCAGGGCCCTTGCACATGCCAGGCACAGACTCTACCGCTGAGCTACATTCTAGACTGCTAGCATTACTTTTTAATTGTGGATATATATAACATAAATTTATCATTTAAACCATGTTTATATACACAATTCACTGGCATTAATTCTATTTGCAAGGTTGTGCAACTACCACCCCTATATATTTCCAAAAATTTTTCATCACCTCGAACTGAAAGCTCTTATTCACTGTGCTATTGTGAGTGAATAATGCTGCTACCAACATGAGTGTACACACATCTGTTCTAGGCCCTGGTTTCCATTCTTCTGGGTTTATATCCAGAAGTGGAATTGCTGGCTCATGTGGTAATTCTATGCTTAATTTTTTGAGGAGCCTTTTTTTGTAGCAGCTGCACTGTTTTATATTCCTAGAAGCAATGCAAAGGGCCTTATTTCTTCATGTCCTCTCTAACCCTTGTTATTTTCTGTTTTTTGTTTTGTTTTTAATATTAGCCACCTGGAGAACATTACTATTTTTAATTTTTTTTGTTTTTGGTACCGGGGATCGAACTCAGGTCCTTGCGCTTGTGAGGCAGGCCGTGGAACCACTGAGCTAAATCACCGGCCCTAAGGAGAACATTATTTTTAAAACAAGGAAGAAGTAAGTAAATATTCACTCGAGCTTCTCCAGGATGCAGCCTGATCACAGGCAGGATTGAAGCACTTGCCCTCTATGGGAGACTGGGTGCTGGGAGTCCCCGGGCAGAGGTGCTGTGCCAAGTGACGTGCTTGTCACACCCACATGCTGTCACTGAAGCCCAAAGGTCAGCAGTT